TGCTCTTGCCTACGAGAGCAAAGAAAAGCCACAGAACTTCTTGGTTCAGCCCAGCAACAGGCATGGGCAAGGCATCAATGCCTACAGCTGACACACCAAGGGGCGCCTCATTGTCAAGAATGGTGCAGACCCTGACATGCTCCTCAAAAGCACTGCCTTTGTTCCCAGTTGCTTTTCCAATCAAACTTGGTTTCTGCAAGTGAAGGCTACCTTGCTCCTGTGCAAGGTACTGAGCGGTTTCTGACAGGCGCGGGCCGTCAACAACTGGCTGGGGGAGCGCAGGCTGGCCCAGGAGGGGCGTCGGCGCCTGGACGACGTGAGCCGGCTGACGGAGGCCGTGCACCGACAGGTCCCTCAGCTGCGCTACGCGCGCGCCGAGCGCCGGGGCGTCGAACAGGCTGCGGGCGAAGTTGCCGCGCAGTAACCGGTAAAGAGATGAAGACGCTTGGGTCCCACGGCTTCAACCAGCGCCCACGCTTCGCGCAGGTGGTGGGCTACATCGAGCAGGGGGAGCCCTTGCCGCTGGACCGGCCGGACCGCAAGGCGACCTCGTTCGTCACGAGCCGCTTCTGATCTCTGGGCACACTGTTCAGTTCCTGAAGTGCCTTGCAGTGGGAGGATGCAAAACTCCTCAAACTTCTTTGCAAGATCACCAAGGGAGGTTGTGTACCACCAGCATCTTGTCCAAGGACAAGTACCTCAAGGACCTGGTGCACGAGGGCTGGTCATGGACAATTGTGTCCTAGACCTTCCCAACCTTGCCTTCATCGGCCATGGAGGCTCTGAATGCTTCCAACAGCAGCTTCCAGGCGCAGGGTGCATTGGTGGCATTGTGGCCAAGTATGCCCCCATCATTGCCCAGTATGTCAAGCTGTTTTCTGGAGGGTCCGAGCTCCTCTTTTGAGATTCTGCGCAACCATGACCTCATGCTGGGGCAGGAGTTTTGGCAGGCCATCACTGCAGTGAAATTCTCCAGCAAGAGCTTCTTTGTGTTTGTCAGGATTGCCCTGCTGGCATGCCTCTAGTACCTTTCGGTCACCAAATTCAAGCCCCGAGCATCAAACGGGTGGACGGGAGAACGTCCACCCTTTCGATGCCTCTCTGTACAGCATGTTTGGGTGTTTGCAGGCATTTGCATTTGCTTACCTTGCTTTAGTTGTACTGTACTTTCACGTCTGTGGTGTCTGTGAGACACCTAACCAAACTCCACCCACTTGAGGCAGTGTGGTGAAAACAGATGGATCGACGCTCGTTGCTGTCGTGCTCTTTGGAGCGAATTGTTGTTTGACTGATTGTTTGATTGATTGGTTGGTTGATTGGCTGCTTGACTCGTTCTTTCATTGATTTATTCATTCACTTAACTCGTTGATTCATTGGTTCATCGTTTTTGACTTATTGGGTGATTCATTCATTCATTGGCTCATTGGTTTACTGGTTTGTTGACCGATTGGTTGATTGTTTGTTTGTTTGTTTGTTTGTTTGTTTGATTCTTTGCTTGGGTTGGGGCCGGGTTGGATGATGTGTTTTTGATATGGTTCGGTCTGGGTTTGGTTTGGTTTGATCGGTCGGCTGCTTGGCTTGTTGGTTTGTTGATTGGTTGGCCGGTTGGTCGGTGGGTGTGTTGCGTGGTTGGTTTAACAGGAGTGCCTTGATTTGTTGATGACCTTTGCCGTAGGAAGGTGGCAGCCAAACAGCATGATTGGTGCTTCCTTTGCCTACAAGCAATGGCACAGATGAATGATACGAATGTCAGGGGACTGCGCGCTCCAATCTGACATGTTCTCAGTCCTTTGGACGTGGGTGGGTATTTCATGCCGCCTGCTTTTGATGGAAAGCCGCGTGTGCAATGCCCTTTTTAGCAGTAGCCGGAATATTCTGGATTGCTTCGGTTGTGTTTCCTGTGTTCCCTTCCGAGGACAGATGGCGCAGCTGGATGTTTACCAAGCCAATCTTGCCATCTCTGCGAGCCGGAGGGATTCGAACTGGCCTGGGGCCTTGAGCCTGCTGGCCAGCATGAGCCTCTTGCATGCTAAGAATCCACTCGAACGCATCCCGAAGCTCGGTATGGCCTATGAGCACCCAAGGTGGATCGGACGTGCTACTTCGGCATCATATTTTTGAGCCCTGTTCTGGTCATATCATGCCACAACCCCAAGAGGCTTACCTTTCACATCCTCTTTCCCTCAGGCAAGTGCTTGCAAGCCTTTGGGAAGGCCCTTGTGCTTCAAGGCAGAAGTTGCAGTCGCAATCGGCCACCAATCCTGGCCACACACACCATGCCCATTGATGCCCACGCCTGTTCAGCAGATGGATGTCAACCTTCGGGGAGAGAACCGCATGACACTGCTGGTGGGGAGCCTCTTACATTTCGAGGGGATGAATGTAAGTACTGTTTGGGATTATGTGTGGCCCAGAGCGTGGATCCTCAGGGTTGAAACAGCCCTCCACGTGTTTTGCGTTTCGAACTCCTTCTGTGGTTTATGACTGACTGTTGTGTTTGTCTCTCTGGTGAATGACCCCTGGCTCGAACTAGATTTCTAGTTCAATTTCCCATTTTATGGGGTTTGGACTAGCACATAAACCCATTTCGAAAAAAATGGGGCCCTTTTCCTTTAAGGTAGCTGTTAGGATGGCAGCTGCTGCTGCCGGACTTCGTATCACACAACGCGGCAGTGAGCGCTTGCCAGCGGTCCCAGCAGTGGCGTGTCCTGAGTGTTATCGCCAGGACGCCCGTGGGTCAAAGGCCCCTGGGGCCCTTGGGAAATCAACAGAAACCAACTCAAATTTGAGGTCCCCTGTTTTAAGAGACACCACTCTGCTGGGAACTCTCAAGGTTAGGCCATGTTAGGCCCCTGGGAAACTTCCGTTTGCTTAAGAATGTGTGTTTATTTTCCCCTGTTGGCTTTAAAGGGAATCCATCACTACTGGAATTGCCAAAGAATATGGTTTGTTTTCCCCTATTGGTTTTGAAGGGAATCCATCACACTGGATTTGCTCAAGACTATGTTATATTTTCCCCTGTTGGTATTAAAGGGAATCCGTCACTACTGGATTTGCTTAAGAATATGTTTTGTATTTCCCCTTGTTGGCTTTAAACGGAATCCATCACTACTGGATTTGCTTAAGAATATGTTTTTTTATTTCCCCTTGTTGGCTTTAAACGGAATCCTTCACTACTGGATTTGCTTAAGACTATGTTTGTTTTTCCCCTTGTTGGTTTTAAAGGGAATCCATCACTACTGGATTTGCCTAAGAATATGTTTTGTTTTCCCCTGTTGGTCTTGAAGCGAATCCATCACTACTGGATTTGCTCAAGAATATGGTTTTTTCTAAGGGAATCCATCACTACTGGATTTGCCTAAGAATATGGTTTTTTCCCCTCTTGGTTTTGAAGGGAATCTATCACTGCTGGAAGGTTTTTTTTCTCCCCCCCGCAGGGGACTTAAGCAAATGAAAGGATATCAACAGAGACCCTGCAAATTTGAGGTCCCCTGTTTTAAGAGACCGCAACCTGTTGCCCTTCACTGACATGATGAGCAAAGAAAACCCCTGCGACCATTGGATTAAATCCCCCACCCCTCCCCCGAAGGTGCAGAAGCTAAAGAAGGGCAGGTAACAATTGGTCCTTAGAATAAATCAATAGGAAGACTCCCCGTAGCATTGGGCAATACTACTTTGAGTATCGGGCAATACTACTTCTGAGTTGGGTAAGTATGATCATTCCTGAATTCCAAAAGGTTCTAAATTGCTAGATCTGCCTTTTGAAATTTGATATGAGTCTAGTATGTGTTGGACTGGAATGCTGGTGGCCAGGAGTCCATGCAATCCCAACCTTGTCACCTTCAACACCTGCATCAGCGCTTGCAATGGGAGCAGGCTCATGAGTTCTGGCTAGCTGAAACGCTTTGCATGACATGTGCAAGGCGCAGAAGCATTTCCAGGGGCTTCATGTGTCATGGCCATGTTTTCAATTGGCGGTTTTCAAGCAAGCTGAGCCAGTAGAATGGACTGTTCGGGAGCCTTCCCATTTCCCAATGCTGCTACTGCACTGTCAGAGCCTCGGTCTGCAACCAACTTGGAGTTTGCCGGGGAAACGATTAATGTCTACCCACCCACCCCACCCTCACCCTCCCACCCTGATACGGATTTGTCTTGAATAACCCAGCTTTGAACGCCAGTGAAAGCTAGCATATGAGGTCCCTCGGCACGATAGAAAGCATTGGTGTGGGTCCTTTGGAAGGTCCCGGAAGGTTCCAAGAAAAGCTTGGGAAATACGGCTATACCATCTCTGGTGTGGGCAGGGGGGACAAACCTCATATATGACAAGGCAACCATATTGCACACATGCTCCACTTCTACATACAGATTGCCGCCCCTTCGCCGAATCGCACACAAACACATTGGCATGCGCAAAAGAAAGATGCAAATGAAGGCAGGCAAGCGTGCTGAGTAGACCCACAGCTTCCCTCTCTACAGCGGTTTCCTACCGTACCTAGCCATCACGGGTGAGGATTAGGGGATCCCTTCATGTTGAAAAGGGTCGGATAAACTAGCCATGGCGCCAGACTGAAAACACCCTATCAAATAGGGAGCTAATAGAATTACACCCTCAATATGCATAAACTTATGCATACATATATGTCGAGTATACCTTCTACACATATATATATATATACATACATGGCCAGCGTGCATCCAGTGGACCCATACGCGTTTCCGGCCAGGCGCTGGGTGCGGGCTCTGTGCATTTTGGAGCTGCTGCCCGTGTTGCGCTGGGCGCCTGACGTGGTGAGCGCGGCGGGGGCGGTGCACGTGCTGCGCGAGGGCGGCGCGCAGTGGGAGAGGCCGTGTGGAACGGGGTGCGGGGCACGGGGATTTCAAGAGAAACCCCAAGACGCCCTTCAACACAGCCCGGGAATGATCGTGATTGCCAAGCCACGCATTGTATTTATATATGCATATATACATGCATTATAGTATGGCACATGCTGGTGTTCCTTGCCCCGCACCCCAAGTGATGCTTAAGCGATGCTGCATGTGATGCCACTGGAAGGCTGTCCGAATGACTCATTTTGTTGAAGCACCGTTGCCAAACGCATGTGCCTAAACGCGTTCGCTTGAACAAATGTCGAAATATGGGGAATTCACACGGCCCACTCAGTTTTACTTGCCCATTTTTTGTGAGTTTTTTTATTGAGTGCTGGCACTTTCTCCCAACTGGCTGGTAAGTGGCTTGGGGTTTCAAGCCGCTCTAGAACATGTATACGTTGACTGATGTGCTTTGTTCCGATGCTTTGTCTCAACAACAGGTGTTGCCAGCTTTTGCGCTGGATGCCTGTTGCTGACATCGTCCCCAACATCATCGCCTTCAACAGCACCCTCAGCAGTTGCGAAAGGACAAGCCACTCAGTCCAGTTGCATCATGTTTGTTTTTTTTGCCGTCCGTCCTTTGACTTCCTTCCCATTCACTGCTCAATCTTTGGGCCTTGTCTAAGACTCGGTTTGTAAGAAGCTGGAAGTATCCCCTGCCATGACCTTCTGCGCTCAGGGAGTTCCTCTGTTTTCCGTGGCGAAGCCTTAACTCGAACCGAGGCCATTGGAAAGGTGCCCTGGCCATTTTGGAAGGCCTGCCCCTGAAAGGGAGGCTTCCAGACGTCATAAGCCACAGCCTTTCTGTCAGCGGCTGCAGCAAAGCCCGGTCCTGGAAGGAGGCGCTTTTCTGGCTCGTCGAGCCACGAAACGTGCTCCTCGGTAAGTGGAAATTGCCTTTTGGTGTCTCATGGGCCCCGAAGCCATGGTTCCACAAATGCAGATTCTGTGTGTGTGTGTGTGTTTAAATAGCTATATATATATATATATAAATAGGTACAAATCAGTGTCCGGTTTTCCAGCCTTGTTCTGTTGAAAATCATGTTTCCAACAGTTGGTCTACTTCCCCCTGTTTTCAGGTTGATTTGGGGAAGTGAGGCTCACCTACAATGCTGCCATCATCGCCTGTGAGGGAGCCTGGCGCAGGGTGTTCGACATGCGCCTGAGAGAAACTGGTAGAGTCTTGTGCGTACCTGGAGTCTCCATGACCCCTTAAAATGGGTCCATGACCCCATTATTTTGGGTAATGACCCCATTGTTAAAGGGTCATGGAGACCCCAGGAAGGCGTTTTCTGGCTGGCCTCTACGAAACCAGCAAAAACTTCTGCAGGAAGTTGGCCAGTACCCCTTTTGGATTGTATTTGGCTTACCTCCCGTGGAGTAGACATCGGAAGCAAGCCCTGCAAGTTGACAAGACGCAAGGCTGTGCCACATGCGGATGTCCAGAAACTTGCCCGATGCCATTACCTTCAACAGCGCCTTGTGTGCCTGCGCTGGGTCATGGATAGCTGCGTATCATCTTTACGGCCTCATGCTCCGCGAGGAGATGCTGAATGAAGTGCCTGCCCTGGTGCAGGGGTGCAGGGCACCGCAGCAACCATCCAATTCCATATGGATGGACGAAATCCGTTCGTGATTTGATACCCCCGCGAATACCAACAAACAGTGGTTTCAACCGTGGTTTCGTAGGTGGTGCAGGACTCGTCCATCCACATGAACTGTTCCTTCTTGGGCGCAAAATGAAAAATGTATGGAAGGGGGGAGGCCACGTTTTGCGAGGTTCGACAATAACATATCTGCCCGCTATTCTTTTGTTCTGTACCCAAAGGGAAATCAGTATGGGCAATTGTTCAGGCTTTTCACAGACTCCCTACGCCCTATACACATCAGCTGGTGCAGAGGTGGGTGGCAACACTGCCATCAGCTGCGAGACTGCGAGATGGCCCGCTTCCTTGGCTCTGGCGCAGCAGATGTCATGCCGGCAAGTGCGCCAGAACGTCGTGACCATCGGCGCCCTGGTCGGCAATTCGATAGCTTAGTAGATTCCCATATTTTTTGGTACTGAGATCGGCATAGGTTGTGTTTGCCACGTTTGTCCAAGCTCGTTTGAAGGACTTCCTTGTGAACTGAGCGACTTCCTTCTTTGCAGTGTAGGGGTGATGTGATGCCCTGGATCCCCGGACCACGTTAACCACCGAGTTTGGTGGCTACTGGTGTATTGGTTCACGTATCCATCCACTGCAAGTCTTGGGGGGATCCGGGCAATTCGAGCAAGGTCGAGTTGATGGTGACTTGGAACAACACACCTGGCCCTCAAGTGCCTGTGGCATATCAAGCAGAACCCCAATGTCAATTGAGCCCTTGACCCCACTTGAATTGAGAAGGGTGGACCAACCAAGTTCGGAGCCTGCCACTCCAAAGCCGTGAGGAGGCATCCTGTCCGTAGCAAAATATGTTGTTGCGAGTTGCAGGCCCTACCAAAACATTAATATATGTTGCGAGTTGCAGGGTGAAGGTGATTTTGCCACTTTCACGATACCAGCGAACTGTTTCGCGGAGAATGAGTCATCGGCCGACCTTCCAGAAAAAAACAGAAGTGGGCAAGTCACTTCGGGTAAGCCAGCCATTGGCTTCCTTTGTGCTCACTTCACTGAGACAGCCACCCTTTGTGCCTACCCTACCGCAAGCCCCGACAACGCGCCGCGCCTTGCAGGCAGCGTCTGCCTGGCATTGTCCCGTGGCAAGGACTGGCGCAACGTGCTGCGCCTGATGGAAACCTCCCAGGCGAGCTTCCGCTCGATGCAACCAGGGGCCAGGCTCAGAGACTCACCCACCCTTTTGTAGATGTTTGTGTAGTCTCGTGTTTGCGTGGTTGCGTATACACGCATACGTATATCATATTCAGTGCGTCGTTCTGGGAGTGTGTGTGTGTGTGTTTGCCCTGTGAATTTGGCTGTGATTGCTTGTGCTTGTGTTGATGTGCGTCCTTGGGGTTTGGTGAACATGCACTGTATTCAAGATTCCTGGCAAACAACGAGCAAAGATTTGTTGGGGGAGAAGCGCTTTCCTTGACGAAATCTTTTAAAAGAGTTCCTTCGCCCAACTACCGTTATGTGCCAATTTGATCCCATCTAGTTGATTGTTTGATGCGTCCTAAATTGGGGGGATTTTTTTCTGTTAAAAACCCCTGCCGTTGGGTTGTCCTTATCTGATCCTTGGACCAAACATGTGACGTGCCGTTTCGGGTTTCCGATAGGTGCGAGCCAACATGGTGTGCTTCAACACGGCGCTGACTGGCTGCAGTGACTGGCTGCAAGCCTGGCGGCTGCTGGAGCTGATCACCCTGGCGCGCCTCGCCCTCACCCCCGTTTTGGTTGTGGCCGTGGTTGTCGAAACCAATGGGATTTTCTTCTTTGGGGGTAGGTGCACCACCTATTTTAGAGCCTATTTAAGTGGGATCTCATTTTGGGGTAGGTGCACCGTACGATTTGGATTTTGACCCGTGGCCTAGTGGTTGGGAACATCACCCTTTTGTTCCAACTTCACGTGAGTGTCCATGTTAGAAAAAGTTGCCGGAGGGTTTGTTCAGGAGCCCTGGGGCTATATGGATAGGTCCATATAGAGTCCACTTGTTTGAGCTCAATGATGCTTTCGGACATCTTTTTTTTGATCGACACCCCTGCAAATGAGGGTGTTATTTCCCGGGCACTATCAGGATAATTCGCAGGAGTATTCCAAATGGGTACCGTTCTCTTCACTTGGTAGAGGCTTGCAAGAAGGACCTAGCGCAAGTTGTTCAGTGGCTCCTTCACTTCCTTTACATGAGCAACACTGAACTCGTGCCTTTTCTTCCATGACCAACTGCTGCCTGGCTGTTTGCGGGCAGTTTCCTTTGTAGCGTGTGCTCCAAAATTGGGGTGCCTTTTTGGATGGGCTCGAACGGTAAACCTGCAGGTCATCAATTATAGGTGAGGGTAAAACCAAGGACCAGGTGAGTGCGTGGAGGTTTCAACTCAGTCAAATGTGGCCCAGCCCGAATGAGTTGGAATGACCCCGAAGTCAGCCATCGCCTATGGTTTCCTTTCAGGGAATCCCCTTCCGGTTCATTCCCAGAACCCGGAGAGCAATTCCCTACCTGTCGCACCAGCAAGTTCTGAAAACGTGTCTCGGTTTCAATAAAACGATTCACCAACCTGCGTGTAATTTGAAATTGCCTGCTTGCCTCCTCCCGATGTATCATGATGTATCGCCGAAGAAGGGGGAGACTAGATAAATGGAAGGACCCAACAAAATATGCATGCAAAAAAAAAACAACAACAAAAAAAAAAAAAACTAAAAAAAACAACAACAACAAAACCGTATGTCTTTAACAAATGGTACCCATGTACTCGCCCACTCCCCTTCACACCCAGGGGGTGTGTGCCCAATGCCGTGAGCCTCAGCACTGGCTTGGGGGCGCCCGGCCTGGAGTGGCGCAAGGCGCTGATGCTGGCCGTGGAGGACTGGGCGATTCCTAGGGCCAGGGGGCAGAACCTATGGCGATCCCATTTTGGGCGAGGCGAATTCACCACCCATTTGTAGTTTAGTCTATTTTTAGTGGGGATTTGGATGTTCACTGGGGGTGCGGGGTTCTGAGCCATGGCCATATGAGCCATTTGCTATATGTGTTTTGCTTTCCCTTGGTGGTTGTAAAGGGAATCTATCACTACTCGAAATATAGTTTTGTTTTTTTCAGTGGACTTAAGCACATGGAAGTGATTTCCTTAGGAGCTTCCTGCTGCCCAATCGATGGGGTATGATTGGAGCAGACATGACGTGTGACCGGCGGGGCTCGGTACCCTTGCTGATCTTTAAGCGGAGGAGAACCTATTTGCGTCAGAATTAAACACCCACTGGTAGATGAAGGTTATTTTAGGAGAGAACCACCGATTTGCGTCAGCATCAAAACCCATTGGTGTATGCAGGTTAGAGAGGACAGGCCTGTCCAGAAATCGACTTGCAAACAGTGCGCTTGTGATTCTTTCTAGGTGGGGTGGTTTAGTGCAGGCCTTTCCAACAGCCATGCCTTGCTGCTCATCACACGGGCCAGTCAACGCTTGCAACGCACGACTCTTGGCTTCGATGCCGGGTTCGGCTCCCCAACATTGCAAGCAGTTCTTCTTGACTTCTAACACTGGTCAGACCAGTTTCTGGCCCAGGGTCGTGCGATGCCCCAAGGATCATTTTTCCTACCCTAATGGAGCCATGACAATCGCGGTGGGAAGGACAACGAGATGGTCCAGAACGCCCTGCTCGCGGGGCTGGCGACACGGGGCTGGCGGCGCGCGTTGGACCACCTGGGCATCATGCGCTCGAATCGAGTGGCCCCAAATCTTGCCGAGCCGGCACGCTTCATGGGTCGGTCAGGTTCCTTTGCTTCCGACGCCCTTTGCCTCAGCCCTTGCCCTTGGATACGCAATGAACCAAGACTTGACTGTGAGCATACGACCACAGGTAAATTGAACCGCCTTGGAACCGGGGCAATGGGTGCGGGTTTTAGGGCAACTTCTGAGTCGGCCAACAGCAGTCGAGACTCGAGGATGGGAATCAATTTGCAGTGTCGCAGAAGTGGGAATGGATGGGGAGGCGGGTGGAAACGAGCTTCAACATATCTCAAAGGGCTTGGCTTTTCACAAGAAAATCAAAGCCACAGGCCCAGGTGGCCCTGTGGTTTGAGAAAGATTTATCTCGGTCATGGGTTTTCATTCGTGAGCCCTAGGCGAGTTCCAGACCACGTAGTTTTAGCTCGCATCAAAACCTATTAGGGGCACCCAAGATTTTAGGTTCGCTGAATTGTGTGGCATTTGGCCTGACCCTTGCCAAGGCTGGAGAGTGGAGAGAGAGAGAGAGAGAGAAAGAGAGAGAGAGAGAGAGCGCAAGCAAAACAGACAAATTGTTTTGGTCACCCGATCAATGCGGATTTTTGAGGTGAGCTTCAACGCTGCACTCAGCGCCTGCGAGCCTGCAGGGGCTTGGCTGCCAGCGCTGGGCCTGCTGAGGTGCATGCGGCCGGACCCAGACGTGGCCCGGCCGGGGAAAATCCAAGCGGCAGATCAACCCAAGGCAAGGAACGCAGGCAGGCAAGCAAACAAGCAAAGGAGCAAGAGCAAAGCAACAAAGCAAGGCAAAACAAGGCAAAGCAAGCAAGCAACAACCAACCAATTGTCATTGCATGGTTGGGACTGATTTTGAGTTGCAATTGTTGGGGAATCAACCGTAGAAATTGGTTGGCTTAAGCATAACCTATTGGCAAAGGCGACGTTCGGTGAGTTTGCCCGGGGTGATGTTTGATCAAGCTGTGGTACGGAGAAATGCTTTTTTTTGGCCCATGGGTTTTGTCTTCGTTACGCGTTTGTCATGGGTCAAGGTGCAAACGTTAGCTTCCCTCTCTTCCACCCATTTGTTTGCTTGTCCAGTGGCAACTATGGGGCCAGACTCCGCCAGAACCGACCTCCCCAAAACTGACGACCGGTCCTGGGAACGCCAGAGTTCTCGCGGCGAGTTTCTGATTGGCGGCCTTTGGCACACCACCGGAGTTTTGGACTCCATCCCGTAAAATAAGGAGCGCCCCAGAGACTATTCGACTACTCTCCCTTCGTACCGGAAGTGCCCACCACAATTTTCATTTTGGAAGTAGTCCTTCAAAGGATGGACTTCTATGTTTGTTGGGACGGCACGTAGCCTTCGAATCCCCACAACAAATCGAGTGCCCACACTCTGACACACTTGCGAGTTCTACACACATGTTTGTTTGTAGCCTTGCTCCCAAGGCAAGCTTTTCTACAATGCATAGCATCACGCCTTACTAGCGGTTGCCAGAAGACCATTTTGTTCGGTTTGATTAGTACCACTCATGTCTCGAGGAAATGCTAACGACTGCCATGCTACGACCTATGTCAACATTTGCATAGCCACACGCCACTTGAAGCAGTCAACTTCCCCCTCATGAGGGCCTCCAGCGGCCGAGCCAGTTTGAATCTTTTCAGATTTGTGGCTGCGTGTTTCTGTATGTTATAGGAGTTCCCTAAACGTGGGCGGAATTTCGTTCAAACTCCGTCCAATTAGGGGTCTTTCTCAGAAGCAGCTGAACCTATGCAACAGCAAAGTAGTGGAATCTCCTTTAAACACCATCCAATTGGGAGTTCTTTCATTTTTTTTGGACGATCCCCATTGACTCATTGAAGCTATACAACATTGACAGACAGCATATACAGCATCAAAGTCTTCAGTCAAGCCAAAACAAACCCCTCCCCAGCTTCAATTTAGTGTATAAAATCCAATCTTGAACCAAAACCAACGCCGTTCAATATCCCTGCCTCAGATCTCACTGAGGGTCTCGTCTTTTACTGGTAGGTTCTCCTGCTTGGTTTATGCAGTCGAGTCGAGGTCTCGTGTGCTCCTCCTGACTTCACATAGGGAACATGTGCGTTGCATAACTGTGCTTACAACCCAAACGCCAGCGAGGATTTAGTAAGGCCTGGAAAACCCTTGTAGCCATTTGGGATTTTATTTAAAGCAGGGAAGCCAACGAACATGTTAGTTTTCCGTTTGGTCTGAAACAAGTAACCGGAAGTAACACAAGCAAGTTACCCATTGCAAAACCCAACCATTCTGTGGAAGGCAAGATAGTCGGGGTTGGAGACATGTCTTCAATCCATACCCCTCATTTGCCCTAGGCAGTTATGGGGGGTGGCAGGTCTTTGTCCATGGTTCCAGAAAACCAGGGGGTCCCATTTTAGGGTTACATCAGCTATGTTGGTGGATCAAAGTGCTCAGGTCATCAGCTACAGCTCCGCCGCGAACACCTGCGCGCGTGCCGTGCAGCCAGCGGCCACCGTCCGGCTCCTGGCCGAGCTGCAGAAAAAGAAACGCCGTCGTGACGCTGAGGTGTCCCCCGGGTCTAAGGGACGCTGAGCCAAAAAGTCACATTTTGCCAGATGGGTTTGGACATGGTTGTTGGGAGACATATTTAGCATTTTTGCTTCTTGCGGTTTAGCGGTTGAACTCCCACCGCTGAACTGCTAAACTCCAAACGGTTGCTCCCCTTACGTCAACCAAGTGGAGGTTTTGGGGACCTAGGGGTTCGGAGGCTGTGGAGGGGTTTGAGTTGGAGGCGAATTCGCTTTGCGCGAAGGTCGCCTTCCAGCAGCGTTCAAAGAAAAATGGGGTTTGCAGTTGAAACCTAGGGGCAAAAGGCCTGGAAAGGTGTGGTTGGCCTTTTGACCAAGTTCAAGCCTTTTTGATAGTCTGGAAAGGCCTTTCAAATTACAGGGTGTAGGTAATGCATGTCGTTTTTGCAATGTTCCGTTTGCTTTAATACAAACCTCGGTGCTCGTCTTCCTTTTGTAGAGCTCCATTGTTTGCCAGGCACCAAAAGAAGGGAACGTTCAACCCATGGCCACTAGAGGTTTGGGAGGTCGGTTTGGTTTTGACACTGGCATGTGTTTCTTTTGTCGGTTGTCATTTACGATCCGCTGCTCCAAAAGGACACTGAAGTCCGTCAGGTGTCTTAGGACCAGTTGGTTTTGCTTGGGTGGATTGAGCGCACACAGTGCATGTCACCGGTACCGGTGTCCATGGAACTTCTCGATAGCCCCGTTTCTTCAATCAGGCCATTCTCCGGGCATGATGCCAATGGATGTTGGTTCCACGAAAACGTCAAGAGCTCCCAGCCGGTGTACCAGTACGCTTATACGGCATTTGCTTCAGGGGCATGATAGCATCCAGAAAAATCCTTTACTTCCATCACTTCCAAATGTGCTTTGTTCAATCTCACGTGAAAGTGCCCGGTCCATCAAAACGTATGACTGGGAGCTGTCAGTACTTGTCGTTGTTCTCACCAATTCAGTCAGATCGGAGGGAAGAGGAAGCTGGGTAGTTCAAAGGCAATTCAGAATTCTTGCTGCAAATAGTCGAGGTTTCTCTTGTTCTAGTGGAGCCACGCTGCAGATTGCGGGGGATTGGGAATTCCATGTTGAACAACCCAGGAAACTGAATGGAAGCGCATGGCGCATCGTACACGTCCGGCGTGCTGCCAGAAGAGTTTCAGCCCGAACGCGTGCGACTTGCAACCGAATGGGCAAGTTTGCAAGGGCCCTGTGGGGTCGGTCCTTATGTTCCCTTCTCCGGGTGATTTAAATATCATCCTTTGGGACATTTGAACATAAGCGACTTTGTCGGCGGGCTGGTCCTTAAGGGGAGAAACTAGGAACCCAGTGGTATGTTGCAAGCCATTGTTTTGGTTTGGTCGATCTACTGCACGCACTGCTGCCAGCCGCAATGCAGCTATGTCGTGTGTAAATCATCCAGCCGGAGCCGACGGGCAAATATGCTTCTTGGCCCTGCTTTGCTCACCTGTCAGCAGAATGTTAGCTGCGACAGAACCCGGAGGAGAATACAAATCCCACACCGGGAGGGAACGCCGCCCTTGATTAGTATGATGCTCCGGATTAGTTGTCATTGCTGAGGGTGCAGAAGAATATGTCTCCGTGAATCTTAACGTTTTTTCAGGCACTGCTGAAGGTGTCCCAACACATGCAGCTACCCAAGCGAACCACAAATCATAGACCTTTTCCAGGGACCCCGAACCACATCCCCAAACACACTTTCACCTTTGGTTGCTTTTCTGTTTATCCTCGACTGCAAATGTTTGGGTGTGGTGCGTTAGGGTTGTCAGGTGTATGAACTGAGGACCGGCGCGTCGCATGCGTGATGGAGGCAGGGCGGGCTTCAGTGAAAGCAAGGAGACCGTTAGGGCAACAGGAGGTTGCTTCCCCGACCACTAACCGTCACTCGATTCTGAAAGACCACGTCAGCCAGAATCCCTTGCTACTGGTTCAGCCCTGGAGGCCCAGGGCCCAGGCCTCTACCTTCCCAACGGAAACAAATTTGCTGAAGCTGCTGAGCCCATTGCGGCGGTTGAATATTGTTTACCCCCCCCACCCCCCCGCCCAGCTCGGAGATGCACAGAGACCCCGTTTTGATTGCCAAACCTGTATTTAATGTTGGAATGGGTTTCGCCCTTGCACTTTGCATGTTTGTTGGAGGGCGGCAATTAGCGATCACAAATAGTTGACAATTTTTATTTTGGATATCGCATGTGTGGCAATTGTGCAAGTGAGTTTGCTGTAGCTGTTGGTGGAGTTGTGTTTGAGATCAACATACGTGTTTTAACTTGGTATGTTTGCCGGTTTGCCCCTACTAGTTCAAAGCCTTCGCCTCGGGCTGAAAATTGGCCAAGTTTCAGGGAATCCTGGTTGAACTTTCTGTTTGGCATGGATTGAAGTGGCTTGGTATGGTCTGAATACAGCTCAATATGGCTCAACATGACTCAACAGGGCTCAACATGCTTTACGGCTTATGACTTGACACGAGTTGATTTTGACTTTCCATAGACTTTCATGCGGCTTTCTCATGTTTTGAGACCAAGCGGTCGCCCAGGTGGTCTCACCCGGCTCCTGGTTGCAGAGGACTGGCCGAATGCCTGTGCCTTGCTGGCGGGCCTCCGCGGAGAAGTGGTGGAGCCGGACGTCATCCACGCCAATGCGGCCTGACGTGGAACGTCGAAGAGCTCATGTGGCTGCGGGTCAAAACCAATGGGATCCCATGTTGGGGTAGGTGAATTCGCCACCCATTTTAGAACCTATTTTAGTGGGGATTGGGATATTCACTGGGGGTACAGGATTTTGACCCATGGCCATTTCATTTCTTTTGATTGGTGGTGTGAAGGGGGTGGGGGGAATTTGGGAGTCGGTTTGTTCGTTGTTTGTTTGTTTTTTGGCTGCTGCATATTGCTTGGTGCTGTGGTAAGCTGGCCCTTTTGATGCCCCTTTCGGATATTATGAGTATTTCCCCGACCTGTTTGCTACCAACTAGGCTCTTAGGAGCTGAGGCTTCGCAGGGTATGAGGTTCCGAGTGTTGGGGATGCCTCCCAGTTTCACCGGGGGGCTCCTTTTGGAACCATCCCCTAGGCCGCGTTTCGGCGCGCCGCCTGGGCGCGTAGCTGGCTGCTGCTGGCGCAGCTCAGAGCTCGGAACGTGCGGCGCAGCGAGGTGAGCTTCGCAGGGGCGCTGAAGGGCGCCCAGTGGCACAACGCATTGCGCCGGGGCAGCGAGCCACGGGTTGAATTCGCTAGGTCCCCCAGTGCCATTTCTCACCCCCTTTTTTGGGGGAGGGTCCCCCTACTAAAATAGACTACAGAAAAAAGTACCCTTGATTATTCTAAGCTCTCTCCGGGAGGACCTAGCTTGCTTGACTCATGGTGGGACAATGGGTGGGTGGGGAGTTTTAGGTCGCCACTTTCTGCCACCCCCCCGATTTTGAAGATGGGGGGGATTTTGGGTTGCCACTTTCTGCGTCAAGCCCCCTTTTAGGAGGAGGGTGAGTTCCCGAAAGAGGAGAACAGTGCGGCGGATCCCTCGTTGGTATTGCAGAACGATCAAACATGTTGTTCAATTCAGGGCAGGGAGTGGGACTCAGACCTGTGGTCTCCTGTTTTTGCTTTTGAAGGGGGCTCCCTTGAAAGACACAGCAGGCACCGATTTTCCCCAGCTTCTGCCAGTTGAGTTTCCCAAAAGGACCCCTGTTTGGCAGCAAATGGGTAGGTTTCCATGAGGCCTATGCTCGCCTCTGGATGGACCCCTTGCACATTGCCCGAGGTCTCTTAGACTCAATTTAGGAGGCTCCAATGGCAGCACGCCACCGAGGGTCCATCCAAAAGCTTTGTGACCGTCGGGTTCGAACCAAATTGAATTACACTGAGTGAATGTGTGGGCAAGGCAATCTGCAAGATCTTTCCCTAGATTTCTGAATTGGTTTGGTCCCTTAGTGGTGTTCCCGGAAAAAATCATTTAATGTTTGGACAAATTATTTGTATTATTGGACTGGTTGGGATGTTGAGGTGAGGTCATCCCGTATCTTTGGGGGACGTGATATTGCGGAGAATTGCGATGGAGCAGCGAAAGTCGAGCAAGTCCGAGATTTCCAACACAGCCACAAATCACTGATTTTGATACGCATTTACATTGCATACACAGGTGGATGGGAGGAGGAGGAGGAGGAGGAGGAGGTCAGGTTTCCGCAGTGTCAGCGACTTGTGATGCTGCGGGGAATTTGTGCGTTGGGGGCTTCGATGGAATGCAACATGTGAGCGTTCTGTTCTCCCACACCTCTCACTTTGTGCCCCTTTAGCAAGTTAGTGGCACCGAGCTGAGCCTTTGACGATGGCCCGGTTGTTGACTTCTGGGGTAGGAGTATTTGTGCATCAGATTGAAGCAAAGCGCGCACTCTGGAATCAGCGACTTGGAGCTCTAGTGCTTTGCTTGTCTTCTCGGCCTGGACCCCTTTCCCTCATTTCGCGGGGCCGCACTGCGCCGCGTTTGTTGAGGATGTTTCTTTGGCACATGCGCAGCTGGCAAAGCGAGCCCAACCACTTCTGCTTCAGCTCCGTCATCCGCTCTTGTAGCACCAGTACGTGCCTTGGTTGCACTGTGGTGCTCTTGGTGTTTAAATGGCGTATGGGGCAAAATGATTACGCGTGTTGTTCCATGATGTGTTTAGTTGTGCTCCAGAACCCACTTCTCATGCCCTGTTCTAATTGTTTAGACCCTTCTAGCCAGCCCCCGGCTGATGAATGTCTATTTGGGGGCATAGTGAAGGTTCTGGTAGATTCAAAGTAGGCTCCAGTACCGGTCCCAGTGGTCTTATTTTTTTCCGGGGTTTGGGCTTGTTGAACGGCATTATGTGCACCAGGAACATGGTTGAAACACCGAAAGGGGACCACTACACTGTCGTGTGGTCTTGTAGCGGCAGGTTGTGTCTTCCGTGCGAGCTCACATGGCGTTTGCGACCACTCCAGAAGTGATATAAATTTGCTTGTGAACGTTGAACCAAAATAGATGTACAGTGGCAAACAGATGTGACATTTGCAGTTTGCGGTTTGTCATCATACAATTGCCGACCAGCAACTAGATCCACATCCGCAAGCCACAACATCATGCACCTTACATGTCTGTTTGCAATTGGCAGCGCCGAGGATTGGGTTTGCAAGCCGCAATTAACAGTCTCATCAGGATCCAGGCTGTACCTCTCATTGGTGCCCTGACCTATACCTTTATGCGTAGTCTCTTATGCTTCCATGGGTGGCATGCACTACAAACCCAAGCACAACGTATTTGCCGCTCTCAGGTTCTGGCAACACGCCTTGCTCCTGCCGCGGCGTGACGTCGCTTGCGCCAATGCCGCCCTTCTGGGTCTCAGTTGGCAGAGCTCTGTGGAGATGCTGCGCGGAATGGCCACTCGAGAGAGTCGACGTAACGAGCCATGGTCGTTTTTAGCTATGGGGGGTCCTCTTGAAAAACCCATGGGCAGAAGGAGTTGTTGCCTGAGGGTTGTCCAAACACGACGGTGCCTCGGTTGACTCTTTTTGTTGGGCTTTTTTAAATGGAACATCAAGGCAATGATGCATGAGGACCAATTGAGACACTTTCATTTTGCACAATGCTGATGTGAGGCTTTTGTTTTTGCGGCAGTCTGTTAGGAATGGCATGAGGGACTCCCCAAGTTTCCCACGAAATGGAGGACTCACTACTTGCCGCATGTCTTTAACTTTAAGTGTATATTTGGCCTGCTGCTCGCATGGGCATGTGATGGCATGTGGCATGCCACACACGTCACACATCCCTACATTCCCCTGCGTGATTTAGACTGGTTGGATGGGGAACTCCTAGCATCTGCTTGCAAATGAGAAGCAAGCTCCACCAAAGTAGCCACCAATTCAAGCAGCTTGGTGAAAGCTGGCACTTGTCATGCCTAGGATCCGGGTTGCTTCAGTTTGACCTTTGCGTTGTTCCAATTGCTGCCCTTGGGGCAGGTGCCGATACTTCATATATGGGTAGCAACAAATGCCGCCATCTCCAGATGATTCTCCTCGGAAGTTCGCCCAACATTGGTGGGTATTTGCCCAATTTGGATCAGTTCCTGGAGAACGGTTTCTTAGCAAGATGGAGGATCCAGAACCGAGAAACCTTGGATGATGGGATCCTTCAAAACCGGATGGATAAGATACTATTTTCCTAATTTACATCTCGGGGATCGGGCTCCTAGGCTCCTTGGGCGAAAGCTCGCGTCGCTCGCGCCGCTCTCTCGCAGGCAGCTGCGGCCCTGCAGGCGGATGTTGCCACTCGCTCCACGGTGCTGCGCGCCCGCTGGGACCTCGCGGGGCTTTGGCTTCAGCCCCCCGGCCATTTTGGAGAGGCCTCCAAAATGGCTTCGGAGTTGCTGTGGGCTCCCTTCTGAAACCAACCAAAAAGGATACACACCCAGCTTCCTCCAAAATGTAACATGATTACCACTACCCCCAGCGGAAACATGGGGTATACAACCACTATACAACCGCTATGTCAAGGGTATACACCTTAATTTCTGTTGGGGTTCGGGGGGTTGAAGGTAGTGAAAACCATCTTGAGGCCTTCCTGGAAGACCATGTTCCTCTTAAGGGAGCCCCTGTGCTTGTCGGTGGGAAGGCAGATTGTAGGGTACCCCAAAAGGAAAGTAGCAATCCCCAACCCTCTTGGCGTAAACATGGAACAGGGTCAGCAAGCATCATTTTCTGTTTGCCCCAGATGTGAGCCAAGGTCAGCTCAGCCGCCAATGGGCGAGAGATAAACTCTATCCTGGTTTGGGTTGGTATTTGGCTTCCTGCACAAGCTCCTAAAGGCATTTGTGACGTTCAAAGTTTCGGTTTTACAACTTTGGCAAGATGTTTAAGCTGGCTTGATTCCCTGCAGATTTGCAATGAAACTCCAAAACAATGATGTCTAGAGGAATCTCCTTTTCACGCACCCTTTTTGCGTTCCAGGTTCACTTGCAGTAGCCAACTATTGGAATCATGCCTGTCTTGCTTATGATGCTTACATGTTGCGAATGGCTAGAAGACCTCTTGACCTGTTGTTCGATATTGTTGGAGTTGTTTAAAGGGTGTGCAGAACCCCCCCCCCCCTGCGCCGTTTAAGTTGTCATGTGATCATTTGGGAGGATGTCTCTCAGCCATTTCATCAACCTTCGCGCTTGCCAGACAATTTCCTGATGACACCGATGATGTTCAGAAACAGAGGATGCCTTAAGGATGGACCAGGCCCAAATATCACCAGGTCACCAGAAGCATCGAGGTTGCAATCTCCCCACCCTGAACCAACACTTGCCCCAAGCCGCGCTCTGACCTGCATCTTGAATCAGAGGGAGAGAGAGAGAGAGAGAGGGATGGAGCCCCATACCAGATGCGGACTTCCTTACAAAGGAAAGACCGTTGACAGGGGTGTGGGAAGACTCGTTTCCTTCGAAGGTCCCTGTCCACTTCCATCGGAAAAACATAAACGATTGCAACACAGCAAACCATCATTCGTCCGTTTCTCGCAAACCAAGTTGAGGCTTCCCTTGGGTGAAGTGGGGCACGTGGCCCTTCTCAAGTCAGCTCTGGCCGCTGGCTGGGCGAGCCTTGGCTCATCAGGTTTGGAGCTGCTTGTTGTGTTCAGCTGCGTTTCGCAGCCAAGTTTCGACATGGTCTCACACAACTCACGTGTTTCTGGTCAGACGAGGAAGGCACTGGGGCTGACAGCTCAAGCAAGTCAGCTGAACCTCTCGCCGGACATTGCCACCTTCAAGACACTCATTGCCGCTGTCTCACAGATGCTTAGTCTGACAGGTGCCTGCCGGATGGCACGGGAGAGAGGGAGAGAGAGAGAGAGAGAGAGATAGCGAGAGCGAGAGTGCGCTTCGGAGTTTGTAGGGATTGTCATCAACAACTACAGGTTGAGCAGAATTGTTGAATGCCTGCAAGGTGGACAGACACACTCATGTGCCTTGTTCACGCACGCACTGTGCGAACCACATGCACATGCGCACAAAACACACAACAACATACAGAGACGGAGAAATGACCACGCAATCAGACAAACAGCCAGCGAGCACGCACAGTATATATATATATATATAGTTTCAGAATGACTACCAGCCCCCCACCAAATATCCCGAGGAAATGGCGTGCCCGTCTAGATTGATACGTTTAGGCTCACGTGCACCCAGCGCTTCCTGGCAACTTGTGTAGCAGGTAATCGGTCTATAGTTCTTTCTTTTTTAGCAACCAAGCTCAGTTGCCCAAAAGGAAGAGAAGCACATTCCAATCTCACGTTTTTCGGCCTCCCAGTTCACGGTTCCACCACGTGTGCGGGGGGTAAGTAATTATCGCCCATGATATGTCCAACAAATTGCCCGGTGGACAGTGTGCTTCGTACCGAGTCGGGACCTAAGGGCGTCCCGCGGGTGTTTCACCCTTTGGGCACAAAGCAAAACAAAAATCTCAATTTCCTGCAGAAGGAATTGAATAGAGTCGCTCCAGAGAGCTGTTGGAGATTTGCAAGTCAAGTTCAGGAAGTGTAGCCAAGTTTCATAATTGCATTCAACATCTGAATTCGCAAGTCTGGTTCTTAGTTTTTACAAACCCTATCTTCAATTGACATGTTGCTTTGTAACACCTTACGATGCAGGGTCCCGGGCCGGATCCAGGGGAGTAGGTGGCTATTCATGGATTGATTGTGTATGAAAGGGATGAGGCCAGCAAAAGAGCCAGGCGGCAAACGAACAAGACCGACACTCGCATGCACACAGAGAGACAGAAACAGACATACACAAAGAGACAGACAGAGTCAGGCACAGACAGTGAGAGGCAACTTGGCAGGCAAGCAAGCAGGCAGCGACGGGCAGGCAGGCAAGTAGGCAAACCCTATTAAGCAAGATGAGAGGTATCAAATACTTAGCATTGCATTGAACGGATGCTCTCAGGTTCCGCTCCCCCCCCAACCAGACAACATAGACAAGTACCATTGCTCATTTATAAAGTGGCTATGCGGTGGCTATATACCCAAGTCACCTCTCCGGTTGTCTCCATGGAGAGAAGGCAAGCCATTGGCTCAGGACGGGTTGGTCACGAGCCCTTGCCTTGGGAGACTTCAAGCCGGAGCTTTCCTGCGATGCGGGGCCATGGCAGCGCGGAGAAGTGGACGCTCGGGCGATGTTGGCTTTGAGGCGTTGATCCATGCAAGCCTGTTTGCACTTTACCTGCTCCAGCCCCGAAGCCACTCACGGAGTGCGGAGATGGAGCGGGCTGGGAGAGACGGCTCGCGTTGACGTTCAGCCAGCCCAGGGCTGCTGTTGATATAGCCGGCTTCGGGACCGACCAACTCCAACCACTGATCGCATCCACCAAAAGCGGTGACCCACTGCTGACCCACAGCCGGTGAGTCTTGCCGATGAGTTCTGGGCAAACTCGAAGCTTTGCTCGGCCAGCAACCCCCACCCCCCCCACCCCCCCAGGCGAGTTTGTGCAGCTGACTCCCCCTTAATCCCCTTACAAATTAAGCGCGGAGAGGGTGGTACAGTGTACACTTCAAATTGATTGAAATCCACAAGTATCCAACACTTCAAATTCATGTTTACTGCCATTTCCCCGTTTTGCAAAAAGTGCCCTGGGCACCAAGGCGCTGCGGGACCTGCGCTGCCGTGGTTTGGAGCTGGGACTCGGAATTCCGCCGGCGCCGTGGCGCCGGGCTTTGATCTCCGCGCCAACGCCAAGCAGCGCCTTCGATGTGGTCGGGCCGCTGTCATCCGTCCCCAAGGTTTCATGAACCAAAAAACAATGTGATTCGGGTTTGAAGAGCCCGGTAAAAGGTAAGTTTTGTTTATATGACCTGCTGTTGCCAGACGCATTACGGTTATGCACGGACAAACGCGCAGACATACACATATATGCATGCCTAGGTCTTCCATGTGGTCACTTTTTGGGGCTTTGGGCATTTGTTCTGCTCGTTTCAAATTTTGAGCGGAAACAACTGACAGGAGAAGAAATCTTGATTTGGCTGGAAATGACAGGAAATCAGTGGGAAATGAGCGGAAATTTGCGGACACACCAGAGCAACTTTCCGATTGAACATTTAGTTTCTACTTGAGCTGTTTCGGCTGACATGAGTTGTTCTTTTTGTCGAAACGGACAAACACAGCAAAACAAGTGTCCTGGGAAGACCTATATGTGTGTATGTATATGTATATGTGCGTGTGTGTATGTGTGTGTGTTTACATATTAACATGATAAACACACAATGTGCAATTACATTTGTTTGCTTTTGGGTTCAGGACCCGAAATGCGTGTTGAATGTCGAGAAATACCCAGGTTTCAACGCCATATGTCCGGGAAAAGTGCTGCGGCAAACGGAATCAACGGCTGTGAGGCCCCGTGACTCTGGGTACTGCGCTAGCGGCTTGCCAAAGCTGCCAGAGCTGGCGACCGAGCGTCGCTCTCATGGAGCATGCCGCGACCAAACAGGCAATGCAGCAGATGCAACAATAGAGCTCGGAACTCTCATTGTGGCAGCCTCTCACTTCCTCAGTTCATGAACTTTAAACTTTTTGGAAGACCAGTTTAGTGGTAAATATAAAGTTCGAACTTTTTTGGGGCCATCCACTCAGCAAGTGAGGCCTTGGTATGATTGCTTGTGATTCAGCTGCGAGTAGTCTTGCTTCGAAGCTCTGCCGAAGTTTCAGTTGCCGTGACGCCTAGGACGTTCTGCACATTTGCTATGCGCGAGTCTTGATATACAAAGAGCTATTTTCATGTCTGGCATCCCTGGTGTCCCTGCAAAGGGCATGAGGCATTTGAGAAGATTGGCGACTTTGACACTTGCCGGGAGGTCAGGGCATGTCGCTCAACCAAGACTTGGAGACTGCCACAAAGAGTTGGCTTACCCTTGTTTCCGGAGCATCCCTAGGCCTTGGACCTGCGAAAGCTGATTCGAGGCAGTTCTCGAGTCTGAGTTGCCACACTTGGAACCGTTCGACAGGTGGAGGTGAACCTTGTCTGCAGCAACTCAGTCCTGGACGCTGTAGACCATTGGCCTCGGGCCCTGCAGCTTTTGCAGAACCTTTCGCACCAAGCGCGGGCAGGGGAAAGGGGGGCACGTGGGATGTTCAAGACACTTGGTTGCCACCGTGGTAAGGAAGCTAAGCATCAGAAGCAGGGTTACAATCTGCGAACTGGGTTGCTTGCGCCTTGGGAATTTCCTGGGAGTGGGCTGGTGAAGCTGATTTTCACATATAGGGATGCATGCGGTTCCCAACTGATTCTTGGGGCAGAATCAGACTGGGTTTGTTACTTGCGCATGCTGGCCATTGCTAGCTCAAGATGAGGAACTTGGGCCAGTTCGGGGTGTTCGCCGCGCTTGCAGTTGCTAGGACAGTATTTGTGGATGCCTCAGGCTTACATGTGCTCAAGGCAGCTTTCAACCTGCATGGATGTTCGGTTCGCGTCAACGTATTGGTTTGCTCCAGGTGTTATGTCATGGCAGTCAAACACTGAATTTGAGGGCCAGATTCTGTTGTGATTCGAGAGAATCTCTCAATAGAGTAGTTGCAGTGAATCGGATGGCGCACGTTGGTATCGCTCAAATGGTTTTAGTTCCTACAACTGTATGCTAACATGTTCAGAGGGATGGCAGACGGGCGCAGACACGCAATCAATGGAATGCATTGAGCATACAGATCTCTTACACGTGGATGCCGTCTGGCAGTGCAGTGTACTTAGCCATCAAGAAGCCTGCCGTTGAGAGGAGGGACCATGTTTGAAAACCTAAGCTTGACTGGGTGACTCGGCAGGCGGACGTCATTTCGTACAATTCAGTGATCAGCACGCCGCTTGGCATCGAATCGGCCTGAAACTGGGCACAGCTTTTCAATGAGCTGTCGCTGTGTGCTTTGCTTTCACGTGCCAGTTGCAGCTGTTGGAGGGTTGTTTAAATGCAGTGGAGTTTTGCCTGACATGTGCACCTGTTTGAGGGTTGAAATGCAAATATGTTCGCTTCTCATTTGCACCTCGCTTCCTCGCGAGGTGCGGCTTGTGGGTGCTTCTCCTGGCAATGCAGCAGAAAGGCCTCCAAGCAAGCCTCACCACGCTGAACTCTGCAGCCAGGAGGGCACCTTGGGCCTCCTCGCTGAGGCTTTGCCAGGACTCGCGCCGCGGGTTTTTGGGCTCCAAATGACTCGCCAGGCGGAAAGGTTGTGTTGATTTTGCCATACCCCACAAACACGGGTTCTTTGAAAAGGAAATCATTTGGCCCATGCCTCGTTTCCCACAGGGCGTCATCGCGGACCTGCGAGCAGACAGCTTTACGTGCCCTGGCGATTTTCACGCATGAGGCGTCGACGGAGCGCGGGCTTCCGCATCCTGGGTTGCCCCCGCGGAACCGGTGTGAAGGGAGGTGTTTTTGCCCACTGTGACGCCAGGGAAAGGCTCTTTGAAGTATTCGACCTTGGGAAGGCTTTCCAGTGGCAACACAGGGACGAATTCCCACATCTGCCTTTGACCGCTTCCCTTTCTGGCGCTTCCTGGCTCGCTTGGCCCAACTGGGGCCAAGTGGGCTGCATGTCTTGGAACATCCCAGCATGGAACACTTAACCCATTTGCAATGCCGGCCGCCAGGGTCGGGGTCTGCTTTTTGTCAGATTGTTTTTTGATCCAGTTGAATCAACAGGAGTTGCTGTTCAAGCAACGGTTTCACCCCGCATACCCAGTTGCGCAGTGGCGCCCTTGTTGGCTTGGGAGGTTCCCCTTTTAACCCAACCAACCAAAAAATAATTATGATTCTGGAAATCCACTGGGCATTTGATCATCCGGGTCAGTCCACAGGTACAGCAGCCTTGCGAGCTGCGCCGAAACCGCCAGCCAGTGGCTCCAAGTGATGGACCTGCTCCGCCAGATGCCGAGCCGCCGCCTTCGCCCGCCCTTGGCCCCTCGTGCGCTTTGCGTTTTGCCGGAGGGCGGTCCCGGCACCTCGCAGATTCACCTGGAACCCGCAGGAAAACGGCTCCAAAAGGAGTTTCCTCCAGAATTGCTGCTGGCTTCTTTTCGGCTCCATGATGCATGAAGGACCCCCCCAAAACACAGTTTGAGGGGACGCAACTGAGGTAACCGCTCAAGCAATTTGGGGGTCAGAGGTCCCCCCCTAAGTAGTCTCTAGCCAAGCACTTGTTGGTATTGGTTGTGTATTGGTTTATAATGCATTTACGTTTTTCAGTTCTTGTTTTGGAGCATTTGACCTCGGAAGCACTCCCCCACTTCTTTTGCTTGGAAAGTTGTTGGCCCGGCATGTGTTCAAGAATGCTTAGCCAAGGAGTTTGCAATGTGGGCGTGGACGTGTTTTTTTTGGACGGTAATCTTCGGAGTGTTTTCTGTACTGGCTTAGTTGTTGTTTTAGTATCGGGTAAGTATCTTGCGTCTTGGGAAGTTTATGCCAGGCAAAAGAAGCATTGCCTCAATTGAGTACCCTTTCTGAGTAGTGCCTTGGTTTTACTTCTGAAAAGTTGTTGGCAGCGCTTTTCAAGAAGGCTTGGATACTGAATTTGCAGCTTGGGGGCGCGAACTTTTTTCTGGGCTTTGGAATGCACATATATATATATATATGTATGTATCAATGATGAACAAGCTGGGCTCGGAGGGCAAAGGGCACGGTCTCCCACAAGATGAGACCAGAACTGGCAGGAAGGTTTGTTGTTGGTTTGAATGGGAGCCGGAGCCCTTTTAGACATGGTCCTTGATGAACCTGAAGAGGGATGCGCTTCAATGGCAGGTGCTCCCTGTGAATACTTAATGGCGGCCGCAAGTTGCTTCAGTCGCCGCTGACGTGGGGACGTACCTTACTTGATAGTGTCAAGTAGTTCACGGGTGACGGGGCAACAATGCTCGATGTAGCAGATGTGGCAACTCATTGCTGCGATGTCTTGCAGTCGTTGAAGGGCTTGAACAATTCACAGCTTAAACAATGAACGGCGCGGATGAAGCGCAAGCAGCAAGTAAGTGCATCAATGAGTTTTAAGAGCCGCAGGATCTCTTGATGGGCTCATTGCCTACTCTTTGTTCAGTGGCACAGTCTTTCCGTATTGTTTACCTTCATTTGAGTGATAAACAACAAGTTAAGACATTTTTTTTGCAGTCTGCTAGCTGAGTGTTAATTTATCATTCACCGGTTGCTGGGTAGTGTGAAGGTCGTAGCGAACGCCGGCATCAGCGCGGCGGAGAAGGGCCTGCAATGGATGAGGGCACAGCAGCTTCTCGGCCGAGTTACGTGGGTAGGGTTCCATGTTTGACCCCAAGGCTTAAACCCGGAGGAAACGACCCACTGGATTTACGCCCGTAACATAGGCAAACAAATGGAATTTGTAGGGGATTATTTCTGGGGCGGAACCCGACTTGGTTTGAAACCCAACAATTCGAAGAAAGGGATACCAACGAAGAAAAAATACAGTACGTAGATTTGTTTTTTTGGTTGGCTGGTTTGAGCACTTGAAAGGGCAACCAAAGGAAGCTAACTCCCATGAAATGGGGTCTATTTACCCTCCTGTACATTAACATGGCCCACCTCAGGGTCCATTTGGGAGAAAGATGGTCTTGAGGACCTCCGGACAGGTTCTGTGTTAATTTCTGGATGGGAGGGTACCCATTGCGAGACTTTCCCATGCATGAACTTCAAGTTCGTGCCACTCCTTGATCTGCATCCTTGTACCAATTGAGCGACCTCGCGAAGGGTGATTGCGACCTCGCTCACGAAGGTTCTGTCCCTTGGTGAAAGATCCTTCGCCCAGACTACTGGATGTGCGTAACTTGGATTCGTTTGAAAACCCAACCCAGGGTGTTTTATTATTATTATTATTATTATTATTATTATTATTATTATTATTATTATTATTATTATTATTATTATATATATATATATATAAACCCAAGGCATACTTTGCGCTATCAACGTTCAAGCTCAGCGGTGGCAGTGCTCACTGAGTCCAGGGCAGTATTACACGGCTAATTCCAGCACAAGAAGGCGATCCGGAACCAAGCATTCACATTCGCGTTAAGCTTAGTATCTGAGATTCCTCAAATGAGTGATGCTGTTGAGAGTCTGTGCCGGAGCAGGCACCAACGAATCTCTGGAGGGAGGCTTTTGGTGTAGCCGACAGAGATATCAAACAGTGCAGCCGAGGGGGTTTTCTGAGTCAGAGGGTTTTTGCGTCTTGAGCCCTGTTGAACGAATGCGGCATGGCAAGGTACCTTGTGCTGCAGGTGTTTTCCCATACAGACGAGGCCCTTGGGTTCCAGGATCTCGGGTGACACCTTGCGAGCATTCAATGGTTTGGCCACGCAAGCCCTGGCTGGTTGGTGTGTTCCTACAGGAGGCTGGCATTCAGTCAGCTTCCTTTGGTGGCAAGGTAGGCTTGCTTTCGATTCGCGAAAGCGCAACCCCAAAACCTCGCGCCTGAGGAAATGACCACTCCATGACATTGGCACAGGATTTGTCTCTTCGAGCCTTTGATGGGCTGTTTTTCAAGTGACATCCGGCCGACACAGCCTGTGACACACAGATGTGTCAGACAGCTGCGACAGAGCCTGTGACAGACAACCGTGACAACTAGAATTGACATAGCTGTGACGGAGCTTGTGACGGCAGCACCTGGCTGACAGCTGTGACAGAGCTTGACAGCTGAGACAGCCCAAAGCCTGAGTGAGGCTCCCGCCAGTGGCAGGGCCAGGACAGCCGCAGAAAAAGTGTTCATCCCCTGAGTCTTTGAGGAGGCAAATGTCTCATCTACGAGTGTTCTGGTGCTATACAGGTGGTTGGTTGTTGGCTTGTTGGTCGGTCCTTCAGAGAACGCCCAACCTGAACCAAACTGGTCAAGGTGATGCTGGGAACGTTGCTAGTCCTGGAAAAACCAGCTTCTCTGAAAGGGCGCACCCCCACTTCCAGAGGTTTGCCAAGGCTCATTACCAGAGTTTTTGCTTGCCTCAGTATTTCCTTGGGTAGCGGCAAAGGCCAGGGAAAGAGCCCCTCAGAGAGACCAGCCTCACAGGCTTCTGGGCGAGTTGAGTGGGCGAGCCGGGACTGTGTCCTTCAATGCCTGCCTGAGCGCTATCAGCAGGCTGGCAGGGTCAAGGGTCCTGGAGTCCTGGAATCAGACCAAGCCCTACTCCAAATACAAACTTGTTCTCGTGCATGTGCTTGAACGACCAGGATTTTGGTTGGCAATTCCTTGCATACTGACTTTTGCTTTTCACAGTTCAATCAAATTGAGGTTTCAGATCGTCTAAAGTCAGCAGCCCTTGGCCTCCCAAATCTATGAGAGCCATGGGCGGTCATGGCTTGGCCCCAAATAGGCACCAGGCACAAGTAAGCTCCTAGCTCATGTGTCCGAGTAATGTGCGGCCGTACAACCCAGCTTGGGAGTTTGTTTGGAGATCCCAAGTTTGAACAGAGAGTGACCTGACCGGGGGGTGCGGCCTGTTGGTTGCGCTAGAAGAAGGGTGCTGAATTTCTGCAGCACCCAGATCCACCCATCCATCCATCCATCCATCCATCCATCCAGACATATGTATAGCACATCAAATACGTGCATTTGCGAATATACCCTGGAAAGAACCCCTCAATGTATCAACCTGGGACAAAAAAATGTACCCTCCCACTAGCATGGAAGCTCCTAAAGGCGATTCCTCCAGAAGCCCTTACATGGCGTATAGTTCTAGAGGCTTTTGCTTGCCCCCCAAATCCCCGTGCAGGTCAGGCCTGTGGGTCCAGTCCCTGCACTTGGCGCAGCTTTTGCACCAGCGCTCGCTGCAAGAAACCATGATCACGCGCTTCGCGGTGCAGGAGGCCTGCCAGAGGCGCAAGCTTCGAGCTGGAGCTTGGGGTCTTGGGCAGGGTTTAGTCAGGTCTGTTGTTTTTCTTGGGGTTTTCCCCTTTGTTGCCCAGTGGTGCCCTGTTTTTCTTTTTGGGTAAGGGTTCCCCTTTAAACTCAACCAGCAACATTTTTTTGCTGTAGCCCAACAACCCATGCTGTTTAAAGACTCCACCTGAAACCATAAAAATAATCAAACGGGCTTCTTGCTGCACCTATATATGATTGGGACCTTCCCTTTTGCACACCTTCACTTACGCGTACCAAATAATCTGGCACAACTCCCTTCATGGCAGGTGCTTGTAAGCCGGGATGACAATTACATTTCATGGTACCTGCAAAGTGGGTGACTAAACCAATACGCGAAAATCATGGGAACTCAGAGGCCCAGTGGCCATGAAAGTGGGGTGTCTCAAAATAGGGCCCCCCCGCCCCCCGACCCCCGTCTCAGAAATGGTGGTAATTGCTGCTGTTTCCCTTGGACACCATCCCAAAGGGTGCCAACCAAACAGGGGTCCCTATATGAGCAAGCCTTGTTTTGAAGTCTTGGATTCCAAGGGAACTATTTGGGGGTGAGTTTCTTTCAATCCTGCGCGAGGGTTGGACGCACCCGCTATGGCAGGCTTTCAGGCGGACCAGGTTGCATCTTCTTCTTTCTTTTTTGTTAAACGAAGCCATGAGCAAATGATCAAGATCTGTTTGAGAAGCTTTCAAGCACGTCGTGCAAGACTGTGGATCAACTCCTGGGTTGGAAGCGGCTAAGCGGTTGTGGCCCCTACCCCAAAAGAGAACATGGTACACCTTAGAGATGGCTGGTTTCAGCCAGGGCAATGGCTGGGAAGAGCTTCTAGGACTTCCCATTGACAACCTGAGCTTGCCTTGAAGCACAGGCTTTACCTTTTTGGTTTGCCTCATTTTCGAGCTTTCAGCCAGCACAAGTTCGCGATTTGCAGGCGGGTCTACGGTGTGGGTGAAAGTAGATGGCGCTGCTCCTTTCGGGTTTAGTCATTCCTTTTGCTTGAATTCACACAAACGGAATTGTGCCCTCCAGTCTTACCGTGGTCCAAGTCTGCCAGGGCGGGCCGCTGGCGCTTCTGCCTTTGGTCCCTCCACTCGGAGGAGGACACCGCGGTGCTGACTATGGCCCTCTCTGGATCTGCGGGCGATGTGTCGAGCTTGGAGAAGTTGAGGACGGCTTTGGGTGATCGAAACGGAAAGGGTTGCCAATGTGACAAAACCGCGGACCCCCAAAATGGGTTTCCTGGCTTGCCCTCCCAACTGGCCTGGAATGAGGTGCCTTAGCTGGTTCCAAAAGGGCCCGCGTGTGTTACGTGCCATGGGGAAAATGGGGGAGGGGGGGGGGGGGGGTCAAACTCAAGGGCCACTTGTGCCTTTTTCCAAGGAGGATCTATCGGATTTGTGGAGAACCCTCAAAAGTGACCACCTGGATTGGTTGTTAGCTTTTCACAATCAAAACCCTCCCCCCCCCCTTTACATGGCAATCCAAAGGTCAAGAGGTCCAAGGGATCAGCGAAACAGGTTCCCCATGCGTTGGCTTCCTCAAGCTGTTGGCATTCCGCCCGCAAGGAGATGCCTCCTGCGAGACTTGGCTTCTCACGCAGAGACGGGGCCGGCGGCGAGCTGACACAAACGGGGCGCGTTGGGTCGGCGGCTTCAAGCGGGCAAAAGCGACTGCCGCCATATACGCTAGAAATGCATCCATTATTGGTTTGTTTGTTTGTTTGTTTGTTTGTTTGTTTGTTTGTTTGTTTGTTTGTTTGTTGGGGGGGCTCTTCAAAGGTAGCACTTTATTGAGGATTTCCGGTTTTTGAACAGGGCTGTCAAAAGTTGTGCCGCCTTGGGAGGACGAAAGGGAGTGTGATGAGGGTCATTCCTTAGAACTCGCAAATCATTGGTACAGTTGTTGAGTCAGTGGACCTGCATTCAGCAGAGCCATGGCGGCTGACTGCGGATTGGATGCTCAGGCCTTCCCGCCCTCGCCTTCCTTCAGAGGTGCATCGATCGCCATTGGATGTTGACCCCAGAAGGTACCTCCTGCAGGGGCATCCTCCAGGGTGTCAGATTGGAGGTCGATGGGTTCATGGGATCACAACAATTGCTCCGTGCACATCCGGCCTTCTTGTCCACAAGCAGAGCACCTGTGCGATGCGAGTCTGCATGGCTGTGGCCATTCCTTCTGCCATTGCAGCATTCCACTCACAAATTGGACTGGAACCTATGCAACAGCGGCCTGTTTGATCTAGATGTCAGGCTACTGCAAAAGGGCGTGGCCCTCAGCATATCTCAGAATGGCCGCCGGGCAAGCTGGAACGAGCTCACCGCTTCGGGGTTTAGCACGAGCAGACACCTTACTCTGAAGTCAGAGTTGGGAATTACAATCATTTGCCTAGATGGCAGTTGTTCAAGTTTCAGCATTTGACTGGGAGCTTGCCTGGCAAGAACTCGCAATCGCCGGCTAGATAATTTCTAGCCGATGAATCCGGGCAGTCCAACGACCGATTTGATCCAAGATTCAACTCTGCGGGTTTAGACAGGATTTCCGGACGACACCAGCACCAATTCCTTCCATGAAACAAGACAGCGCAGAGTGTACTTTTCGACCCGCGTTTGGGGAAGGAACGGACCCCGCTGGACTTGTAGGTTTCTAGAGCTATCTCCCGAAGGGGGTCCAAACGTACCCACCATGTACACGCTCTACCCTTTTGGACAGCAACTTTCTATGTAAAGAGATTCTGTGTGCAAACCCACGTTGGTTGCCATGCAAACCTCCCATGCGCCACTGACAATGTTGGTAGTGCACTGTTTGGAGGACATGGGCGAACATGCAACACATGCAACACATGCGCCACCAATGTTGGTGGTGGTTTTGGAGAACATGGGCACAACCTCAATTCCTCTAAAAAACCTGGGAAGAACCGAATTTTCTCCGGGGGAAGCGGGTGGTTTTGGCCGCTCCATCGGGCCTTCCGGAGGACTTGGTGACTTGCATGGACGAGGAGATGGAGAGGCCCTGTGGCTTCTATCGGATCCGACTCTTAGGCCAAACGTGGGCTTGGTTGGCAGTTTGTTCCGCCTTCAAAGCGGGTCCAAGGGTGTCAAACTTTTGGTGACTCGATATTCTTGATGCCACTTCGAAAGTATGATGTCCGACTGTTTTCAATGTCGTCCTTCTGAATATTTTTGTCGGATGCTTCTTCTTAACGCCCAATGCTTGAACTGGCAGCAGCCCTTCGTTTGGCCATCAAGGATGTAAGCCCGAGTTTCAATGCCAGCTGCTAGCAGGGCAAGGGTTTTTGGAGGTTGGGCGAGCAACCTCTGCAGCCAACGAGCGCAGCTGGTGATGGCAAAGCTCTAGGATAGAAACACATACATAAACAGTGGAACAAGCAAATGAGATCAATGAAGACAATAAACAACATACATAACTGCATACTGAGTCAATAACTTAGATTGAAGTATATAAATCAGACAAACAAGCACATAACAAATCACATACATATACATACAACATTCGATAATATAATATTTAATTACAGAAAGAAGCAAATAAAACTAAAGAGAGAACACAAGGAATCAAGGAAGGAAGGAATTAATAACTAAAATCGCTAAGCAACATACTTCCAACAAATATTGAGAGGGCGCTCACTGAGACATGTTAAGAAGGAAGGCTCCCCCGCCCATGGCTTCAAGGACTGTCGTCACGTACCCTCGCGATGCACCTGTCTCATGGAAGCTGAGAACGCCCTGCTTGACAGAATCTACCATAAAATTGTGCGGCCGGAAGCTTCTACATCCCCAACATTTCATCTTGCAGTTGGTCAGGAGGGAATGACGGAATGACACTTTTAAACCAGCCCTTGTGGTTTCCTTTAAGGGTATCCCTGGGTTCATTTCCACATTCCCTACTGAGCACCAGCAAGTCTTGTCATGTGATTTCATCAGCTTTTCGACATGTTGATGCTTGCCTTGCAGGCCGGGACTTGCCGAGGACGGGCATCCAGGGCTTGGACGCATCCGCCCAGTGAGTCCGAATGGGGGCTCCGGGCCCTGAGCTGCATTGGTCCCTTGCCTCAGTTTCCAAACGAGCAAAATGGTGAGGCAGATTCTTCATGTAGAACGATTGAGGGTTTCTCAGGCAGACACATTCTGGCTTCTGCTGCATTCCCGGGCTTTGCCTTAAGCGATTGTTTCGGTAAGGTTCCTCTCCCCCAAAAAGAAATCAACAAAGCAGACAAATGAAACAGCGGACAGCAATGGATTCGCATCGGTTCCCATAGTGGCGTAAACATTTATCCTTTCGCAAGGGTCGACTAAAGGAGAGCCCTACACTTCAGGAAGGTTCTGAGAACCTTTCCGCGGGCATCCGCGGGCTAGGGGGTGGAGGGGGGGTGTCAGTGTCCAGGCTGTTTTCCATTTCGCCCCCTGCAAAATTGCGTTCAAACTGGTGGACCAACGCAAAGGGCATCCCCAAAGACAAGCCAAAAGTCGCCCAGATGTGACATGACTGAGGTGGAGTCTCAGCAACGTGTGCCAGTCCCTGTTTCCCGGCTCAGAAAATAGATGGAAATGAGGAGCCAACACCAAGGGGGCTCCAACCCAGCGAGTTTGATGCGGAAGACTCAGCATCTACACCCAGGTTCACCAGCGGTCCGCGTTCAGTCACCAACTGGTTGGCTTAAGGAAGCGCATGCAGCACAGCAACCCGATGCGTATTCAGCAGCACCACATAGTCTTGTTACAAGCCAAACAAATCACTCCAAGTAGCAACAGCCATGCTCCAATCAGCAGCAGTGTTTTTGTACGCAACTTGGCCTTGATCACCAGAAAAACTGGTGCTCAAGGCTGTGTCGCTATGGGCGGGCGCAAACCATGCCAAGCGTGGTTGAATCCAGGCGCATCTATGCGGAGCCTAAGCTGAGAAGGGGTGGTGGGGGGGGGGCAAGCCGCAATGCTCAGGAGCAACTTAGCAAGTGGATTTGCTTTGTAGATAGTCCACGGGCAGCCTCGTGTATGGGCCTGCCTGGACATTGCGGTGCCATTTGTCCACACCAAAGTAGGGACTTGATCTCAATGCCCCTTTGGAGTCTCTCTTTTGACGGTCTGTAGCACCGACAGCATTGTGCCATTGTTGGTGCACCTGGTTTTGGTCCAAAAAAAGGGTTCGATGATTTTCGATTTGTGATCTTTCGGCAGTGTTGAGGTTGTTGATTGTGCTTTGGAGCTTCGGTTCGCATCAGATTGCGTCTTTGTTCCGATGCTGTTGGATGGGCTTCAGGGCCAAGGACCAGCTCCCGCACCATGTCCAAGGAAACCTTGTGGAGCTCGGACTGGCTGTTCACAGACAGAAACCACCGGTGATATCGCTTGCTTTCCCATGGGTCACATTTCGATTTTGCAGCCACTTCAAGCATCACTTAATGTGGGGTCTGCTTCAGCCTACCTGCCCCTGTCAACAAGTGCCGACAGTCCATTGTTGTTTTTCTTCAGTGGTATGGGGGCATGGGCCTTAGGGCAATACTAAGAGGCAAAATTAAGTACTGACCATGCTTAGTTTGCTGGCGGTTCCCAACCGTCCGGGTTTCTTATTTGTTTAGCTTGTTGGGTTTTAGTTGTTGGGTTCCCTTTTAACCCACAAGTTAAACTTTCAGCAGATCTGAGGAAGGCCAATGCACTTACAACCAATACTCGATGTACACCTCCCCACGGTGAGATCTGGAGTTCAGAACTAAAATTGGTTCACAGCAAAGAGAAAACGCAAAACAGACCCCCGAACGTGGATTGAACGGGGCTCTTGTGGGCACCTTTCTGCGACTGTGTATTTCTTGGTTTTGGCAAGGTTTATGGCAATGGGCTCATATTGTTTTTCTCAGGGAACAAACTTTGGATGAATCCGGACCCTGAACCTTCTGCTGAAGGGGTAAGCAAGTGCATTCCAGCGGAAAAGAAAAGGGCCACGTCAAAAATCGGAGCAGCCCGGTCTCCCAAGGAGACGCGCAAGAAGCGGCACCAGCTGGAGGTGGACTACTCCCTGGGCCGAGTGGCGTCTCGGCTTTCAAGGCGTGAAGGCCTGCAGGCCTCGACCGCTTGGGGCTGCGGTGTGCCGAAAGATCCCACGAATCGCTGCTTTGGCAACGCGCGTGTCACTCCCCAAAGTTGCCACCAGGGAGAAACATGAGAGCTGGTGACGTTTTGTTGACTCTTTCCAGAGGTACACCTCGGCAATGGGGGTGGGATGGAGGACGGTATGCAATGGGACCATCAAAGTGCTTCTTGAGCACGTTCGCTTTTGACACTGATCACCCCGAATGAACTGGCCGCGACCCACTTGTCCAAACCAAAGCGACCAAATCTGACAGTGTGGCTTTGCGGTTTTGGCCTTTTTCCAAACTAGCAAGTGAGGCAAACACTCGAAGCTCACAAGTAAATCCTATTCGGCACAGCCTCAGCCAGAAGCCAGACAGACTCGATTGCACAGGCTTTTCAAGTGGGAAGTGCACCTTTTGAGTCTTGCAAGCTTCTACTGGACATGCTTTCTTTGCGCGCAACAAACGAAACAGCTCAGGTGTGGGGATGGTTGATTGGAATTTTACAGCGCCGGCTTGCACCTTGCAAGATGATGTGGTGACATGAGCCGGCTGACACACAACCCATCGGACGAGTTGATCAGGCGGCGGTCTTCCAAACATGGGACCCTTACCTGTCACTCAGAAACATCGGCCTTGCAATTTTGTGCGACAAAAGTCAGACCTTTGTTAGAGCTTTGTTCTTGGACGGGGCCGCTGCAAAGGCGGACATTCCCGCAGCGGCATTAAGCCATGGCTGGCCTCCACATCGAAACTCTTCGCAACTTGTGGGTTGAGACACCTGATTTGGAGCAAAGGATGTCAGAATCAACTTGACATTGGAAGATATATATCCAATGTCAAGGAGGTGTGGTGACATAGTTTGCTCCAAGTCATGTGAAATAGCCCTTGGGGGACTTGCCGCTTTGGAAGTAACACCAAGTCAACTTGACAAGTCCAAGGCCGCACCCAGCCCGGACCCCGTGAACATCCGAAGCGGGGGCGCCTGGGGCTCTTCCGCCAGATTCTTGACAACGAGTCGGGGTGTAGGTTGAATGAGCCGGTTTTGGGGATTCTCTAGGAAACCATACATGTTTTTTTCGGCCAGTTCAGTTGCCAATCCTTGGAATGATTATTTTAGGTGGAGAATCTCAGGGCAAAGCCAGCCGCCAGTATTCCGGGATGGGCTTTTCGAAGCCCCATCCATACCTGAATCAACACATGGATGTGTCCGTTTTGAGGGGACCTTGAAGAAGACACTCACATGGGTTGCCACCCCCACATGGTCCATGTGGCCACGCTCTTTGAGGGACCCGCCTCAGATTTGTCGCCCCAAACGAAGAATCAATATGCCACCAAGTATGTGCCCCAATGCATGGTGGCCCCACAGAATGCAGAGGATTTGCACTACTCGCTGTGCATCACAATTCTGAATTGGAGAGTCCCCTAGCAATTTATGCTGCAACTGCCCGGTAGGTTTGAAACGTGCGCATGCTCTATGAAACGTGCTTGCTTTGGACCAGCACAAGGGATGAGTCAGAAGAACAAAACAGAACAGCTTAAAGCCAGGGCCGAGCGCGCTGAACTGGATGTCACTACGTGGCATGGGTTGCTTCAACTAATCCTTGAAGTGTTCCTCAAAAGAGAGAGGTTTAGAAGCAAGGTGGACCCACGGACCCAGTTGCCCGTGTCAATCCGGAGGCCTGACATGCATTGCGCGGATTGTGCTGGAGGCTACCAAGGACATGCGCCAGCATGAATGGACTGTAAGGGCATATGGCCAGCCGCAGATTTGAGCAGATATATTGTCCGCCTCTGATTAATAAATAGGGCCCCCCCATGCCCCCCCCCCTGAATGACCCTAAATAAAGTTAAGGGGAAAAATTCAGGGTCGGGAAATGTTTAGAATGTGTTTAGTATTGGGCTCTGTTTTTTGGTTTTCGAATACTACTTTAGAATTGGGCCAATTCTAAAGTAGTATTGGGCATGTTGTTTTTTCTTATTTTGCTTTGGGGGGAATACTAGTTTAGAATTGGGCCAATTCTAAAGTAGCATTGGGCCAACAACTTTTGCATCAGTGGGAATTAGGGTCAGGAATTATTTAGTGCATGAGGTCTTCCTGGAGGGGTGGCCTTGCTGGCAGGGCCAAGTTGTGTTTTTTGAGGGTTTCTAGATAAAGAATTTGATGAAGGGAATCACTCAATAATTATGGGATCTGATGGAATTGGAATCAATATGTTTGATGAGCCAGCTTGAATGGAAAGCTTGCCGCTGAAAAAATGTCGGATCAGAGCTTCTTCCTTTTTCCCCACCCGACAGGAAGGGGTTGTTAGATTTTGTGTTGGAATCCGCGTTTGCGATGCTTCTACACCACGCCCCCACCCAGCATCCTGCCAGAGCAGCCAGAGCAGCTCGCCAGCGGATCCCGCCGAGTATCCCGCCAGAGCAGCTCGCCAGTGGATCCCGCGTATCCCGCCAGAGCTGCTCGCCAGTGGATCCCGCCCAGTATCCCGCCAGAGCTGCTCGCCTGTGGATCCCGCCGAGTATCCCGCCAGGGTGGCTCGGCAGTGGATCCTGCCGAGTATCCCGCCACAGCGGCTCGCCAGTGGATCAGAGCGGCTCGCCAGTGGATCCCGCCGAGTATCCCGCCAGAGCAGCTGGCCAGTGGGTCCCGCCCAGTATCCCGCCAGAGCGGATCCCGCCGAGTATCCCGCCAGAGCGGCTCGCCAGTGGAGAGTATCCCGCCAGAGCGGCTTGCCAGTGGATCCCGCCGAGTATCCCGCCGAGTATCCCAGAGTAGCTCGCCAGTGGATCCCGCCGAGCATCCCACCAGCCAGTGGATCCCGCCGAGCAGCCCACCAGAGCAGCCTGCCGAGCCTCCCGCTGAGTATCCCAGAGTAGCTCGCCAGTCCGCTGAGTATTTTAGCAGAGGGATCCCGCCGAGCAGTGGATCCCGCCGAGTATCCCGCTGAGTATCCCTTGCCCATGGACCCTGGCGAGTGTTCGGCCAGTATCAAGCCAGAGCGGCTCGCCAGTATTCGCCAGTGGATCCCGCCAGTATCCCGCCAGAGCAGCTTGCCAGTCTGGTTTTGCTTAATGTCCCGCCCGGCGCACAGTTGGGTTTGCATGTCATGTTGGTGCCTTCGTGTTTTGAGCGTACCCTGATGCTTTTGTGTTGCTTTGGGTTGTGAACAAGCAACTTCGTTTAATCCCCCGTCGGGTTTCTTTTTGGAAGGGGCTTGGCTTTTGTTAACGGAACCGATGTCTGAGTTCTCGAGATTGGAGTTTGCCACGCAGACAGGTGGATAAGGCTCTCAATGCAAAGCTTTTTGAGCTAGCCGACGGGAATTTGGAGTCGAAGTCTCTAGGATGCGGAGGAATTTGTTGTAACGGCTGTAAGCTCGCGAGTGTGGAGGGTGGGGATTGCTCGAAGCCAAGTATTTTTTTTGGGGGGGGGAACCCATTTAGCTTTTTTGAGGGGTAGTTTAATTTGGTTTGGGAACACGTTTAGCTTTATGCAGGGGTGTTTACTAATCGTAGGCGGACATTAAGTGGCATTTATGTGGCAGGGACGCTGCACCGAAGGCAGTCATTGTGGCTTACGTCTAATACTCAGCCAGTGTTGCCAGCCACACATGGCACTGGAACCCAACGGTGTGGACCCATCGGATTTATTGGGGGTGTGGCCTCCAAAAACTGAATTGTCCGCTCCAACTTTTATGGGGCACACACACACATGCTCGCGCGTGTTAATTCAATTTGCAGTTTGCGTAACCAGGATTTCAATTTGCGGAACTGCAGAGCAAGCGAAGGTGTGTTTGATTTCAAGAGCTCATGATGAGTCGGGCCTGGACAGATGATCAGATAGAGTGGAAGCTGCCCATGTTCCAAGCAATTATTTGCTGCTCTCAGGCCGCAGAAGCGAGCATGCCTACAACGATTTGCCAAAGGATCGGCCAGAGGATCTACCCGGGCGAAACGAATGCATTCAGCCCTTAAGATGCTAGGGCTTACTGACCACAACATGCGCCACTGCAAGCACCAGGGCTTTAGCGACCCGCTTCCAGGAGACCAAGCAGGTGCGGAACTTCCTGGAAATGATGGGTGCCACCCTCAGACCTCGACTTGGGGCCTCGTGGCCTCGTTACTCACAATGGGTGAAACGTATGCGAGGCAACGGGTAGACGTCTATCCTTATGCTCGGCAGTTTGGGTGCTGGGCGTGTGGCGGTTGAGAGCGTTTGGCCTTGTAACGCTTCGGGTCTCATTTTTCTCTGGGTTTTCCACTAAACCCACAATAAGCTAAACTTTTTGCAGAGGGGTCAACAGCAACCAAGAGATGAACAGCCCCAAGGTGGTTCCTTTTTCCCCTACGGCCATGGGGCAACTGGGGCAGCTGAGGGCATACCCCTTCGCACAGCTTGTAGCGAATTCAACTGCGCAACACGAGCTCATCCAGGGGGCAACACGAGCTGAACTGGGGGCAACACGAACTCACCCTTACATCCTTACTTATACGCAACTAGTGCGGGTACCCATGAAGAATGCAACGCCGGAAGCCTTGAACGGCCACGTGCACGGACACACTGCCAGGCGTAGATATCGACCAAGTGGACGAAGGCCAGGCCGTTGCACTTCAGCAGATCGAAAGCCAAGTAAAACTGGCAAAAATATACAGTAGACCGTGTGAGTTTTGTTTGATTCTTCCCTTTTCTGGCCACTTTTGAAGTGAACACCAAAGGAGAACCTTTTTGGGGGTCGCAGGGTCCTTTATTCTGAGACAAACCCACGTTGCCAACAGTGCCCAATGTGTGTGTGAGAAGGAGCAATCGGTCGGTCGGCATGGATGGACACTTGGCATCATCGGCAAAGTGCTTATGGGGCATATGTGCCCCCAACCCTACCCTCAGAAACCCAGGAATGCATGTTTCTGAAGGAAGAGGGCAATCCAGTTGGCAAGGACTGTTTTAGGGGCCCGATTTGTTCGGCTTGGTTGAAAAGCGCTGCCTCGAGTGTTTGCATAAGTCCTGTTGCACGCTGAGGCGCTGACAACTATTGTTCTGTTGAAGGGCATTTGGCTTGAAATTGCTACATCAGCACTTCGGGCACGTTATGAGTCGATGCGGGGCGGGCTAGAATTGGACTGAACAATATCAGGGTGGAGTTCGGAGATTGCATTGATCTGTCATTGCCAGGCATAGCATGGCAGAGCCACGTTCATCATTTGCCAGTTGCTTGTGTGGGCTTCCATGACGCACCTGTTTGCCAGAGGCCATTTGGTCGGCCTTTGCAACCCGAAGCACGCTGCGCAGGCAGGTGAGAGGATATTTGTGATATATTTTGTGAGCAGCTTGCGAGGGAATTTGTACCCCATTTGGCGTGGCTGCCAAAGGTTGAACGCACTATAAGTTGCCGAAGCGCTTCGTTGGGGCATCCTACCCTGAGTCTCACTTTTTAATTTCCACGGACCCCTCCCAGCTTCCCTGAAAGAGGTTGGATTAAAAAGTAGTTTTCCCGAAAGCATGGCGAAGGGTTCTTCCGCTGGGTTCACTTGAGTTGTTCTCATGAGAGTCAGTACAAGGTGTCATTGCAAGGAATCATCATCATGAAAGTCATTGCAAGGAGTCATTGCAAGGAGTCATTGCAAGGAGTCATTGCAAAGGAGTCATTGCAAGGAGTCATTGCAAGGAGTCATTGCAAGGAGTCATTGCAAGGAGTCATTGCAAGGAGTCATTGCAAGGAGTCATTGCAAGGAGTCATTGCAAGGAGTCATTGCAAGGAGTCATTGCAAGGAGTCATTGCAAGGAGTCATTGCAAGGAGTCATTGCAAGGAGTCATTGCAAGGAGTCATTGCAAGGAGTCATGGCAAGGATTGCAACTTGCACTTGACTCCTTGCACTTGCAACTTGCACTTGACTCCTTGCACTTGCAACTTGCACTTGACTCCATGCACTTGCAACTTGCACTTGACTCCATGCACTTGGCTCCTTGCACTTGGCTCCTTGCACTTGGCCCCTTGCACTTGCAACTTGCACTTAACTCCGTGCACTTGCGACTTGCACTTGACTCCATGCACTTGGCTCCTTGCAACTTGCAATGGCTCTCATGACTCCTTGCAATGACTCCTTGCAATGACTCCTTGCAATGACTCCTTGCAATGACTCCTTGCAATGACTCCTTGCAATGACTCCTTGCAATGACTCTTGCCATGACTCCTTGCAATGACTCTTTGCAATGACTCCTTGCAATGACTCCTTGCAATGACTCCTTGAAACAAGCAAGGAGTCAAGTGCAAGTTGCAAGTGCAAGGAGTCAAGTGCAATTGACTTGCGAGGAGTTAAAATCTCTTCTTAGGGCGGCGGGGTAGTGCCGACGACACTACACGAAAATCGACCCTCTGCGGGGATCGGCGTGGTCGAGGTGCAAAAACTCGAGGTTTTTTGCGATGTTTAACCTGCTCGCGCGACCCTCTGCGGGGATCGGCGTGGTCGAGGTGCAAAAACCCGTGGTTTTTTGCGATTTCTGCGGTGCTCGCGCGACCCTCTGCGGGGATCGGCGTGGTCGAGGTGCAAAAACCCATGGTTTTTTGCGATTTCTCTTCTGCCGCGCGACCCTCTCGGGGATCGGCGTGGTCGAGGTGCAAAAACCCATGGTTTTTTGCGATGTTTAACCTGCTCGCGCGACCCTCTGCGGGAATCGGCGTGGTCGAGGTGCAAAAACCCATGGTTTTTTGCGATGTTTAACCTGCTCGCGCGACCCTCTGCGGGGATCGGCGTGGTCGAGGTGCAAAAACTCGAGGTTTTTTGCGATTTCTGCGGTGCTCGCGCAACCCTCTGCGGGGATCGGCGTGGTCGAGGTGCAAAAACTCGAGGTTTTTTGCGACTTTTGTTGTTCGAACTGGTCCTCGGGAGTTGTCTCGTGGTTCGCGCGCCTGCTCCCGGAACCGGCGGGTCGCGGGTTCGATTCCTCCCTGGTCCGCGGGCGGGCGTCGCAAGATGCAACTTGCATTTTAAAGCAACTTGCGCAGAGCAACTTGCGCAGAGCAAGTTGCACAGAGCAACTTGCGCAGACCAACTTGCACCGACCAGTTTGCGCAGAGCGCCTTGCCTAGAGCAACTTGCGCAGAGCAACTTACGCAGAGCAACTTGCACAGAGCAACTTGCACAGAGCAGCTTGCACAGAGCAACTTGCAGGGAGCGCAATTTGCACAGAGCAACTTGCAGGGAGCCACTTGCAGGGACCAACTTGCCGGAGCAACTTGCGCGGAGCAACTTGCGCAGAGCAACTTGCACAGTGCAACTTGCGTAGAGCAACTTGCGCAGACCAACTTGCACCGACCAGTTTGCGCAGAGCACCTTGCCTGGTGCTGTCTCGCGCTTGCTTCACAAATGCTTCGTGTAGGGAAAAAGAACGCATCCTGCAGCGTTGGGCCGACCTCGCTTGCGATGTTCTGCTTTCGGGCCAACCGTGGTCTAGTGTTTTTTTTTGTATGTAGATGTTAACAATCACATCTCACTTCATGTCTCTTTCTGCTTTGCGCCGTGTGCCCCGCGAGCCGAAGTTGACTTCGTTTTCTGTATCTTCAGTTTGGCGCGGTAGGATGTGGCTTCAAATGCACCACGCGGAGACTTCCTGCTGGATTTGCATGAGGGGGAGACCCGGGGATCGACATGTTGAGGAAAGCTACAGCTACAAACACTGTTGGCCGAAGCATCGAGGAATCTCTCAAAGCAAGCTTGAGGCGGTTGAGGTTTGTACCTCACAGTGAGTGTGACGTCGCCATTTCTTATTGGAGTCCGGGCTGGGCACATTGCCGTTGCCCGGAAGCATGCTGTGCCGCTGTTTCCCTTTCGGCAGAGTGGCGAGCCACGAGCAACACCTGCGAAGAGGACTTGTCTTATTGTAGGCTGCTGGAGAAGAAGGCAGCGTTCGCCTTTTTGGGCAAGCAGTGCCAGCTTCGGTGCACCCTGTCTCAAGGTGCCTGGAGCACAGCGTTAACCATTTGTTTTTTATACCTTTGACTTTCAAGGGCAGTCAGGTTCTTGAGAAATGTAAGTTTCCGTGGTACCAACGATAAACAAAACCCTTGTCAGGTGGACATGACATCGTTTGAGAACAGCAGTTCCTTGCCTGTACTGTTTGTAGCTGTATGTTCCTTTCTCTTGTTCTTTAGATTATGTATTTGCTTCTTTGTTTTTAAGCGTGCAAAGACGTGAGCGTGTTTTTGCTGTCCTTGGCCCTCATCCTCATTGCGGCCACCAGCGAAAGTAGCAGATCAAAGCGCATCCAACTAATTGGCTCAGTGCCCGGATTGCCGGTTTCCTTTGAGGGGCTGTGTGCTACTGCTGTTTCTGCATGCTTCAACATGTTTATCGGTTGGTGCTTTGGCTTGCTGTTGGGAGGGCCATTGCAGCACCTTCGAAGTCCAATATAGTCACCATGTTTGGCCTTCATAATCACAATTGGGCTGACATTTCAACCACCATATGTACATATATATATATATATACATAGATATATACATATAGATATATTATAGTACATTTTTTTGGATGTCAGGCCAAATTCTGGCGAACGCAAATCAAAAGCCAAATTCTGGTCATCGCCAGCTCCAGGCCATCCGGCTCCGAAGCGCGCTGCTGCAGCTGGCGGAGCTTCGCCGGATCCTGCGGGGGACTTGGGACGGACTGGGAGGCACCTTAAGTTAAGGTGGTGGTGAACTCACGAGTTGGGAGTTTATCCATGTAACAATGTATGTCCCAAATCCTTGGGTCGAATCATAAACTTTGAGTCACTTTTATGGGTAAAACTACAAGTTCAAACAAAGAGGTAGTCCACATTTCCATGTCCAAGGAGTTTCATGTGGCGCCTACACGCATAAGAGTAGTCCATAAAAAATGGAATCAAACTCGTATCTACAGTATTAACATGGCTTCTGTCCATCCACAAAGGGGGGCCCTTCAAAGGGCCTTTTTAACCGCTTTGTGCAGCTGTGTGCCGCCATTGAAACTTGCAGATTTTCAGCAGGGAGTGAGAGAATCCCTGCAACCTCGCGTAGTTTGAATAAAGGGGATCCCTAGGTTCATTCCCAAAACCACGGTGGATTCCCTCCCGAGCACAAGCAAGTAAAGACAATTCAACAAAGCAGTCCTAAATTGAACCCCCCCCCCCAAGTATGGACGACCCACCTAGACCTCATCAACTCGCCTGGGGGACGATTTCTTATACGCATGCTCGTGTTTTTGACTGCTAACCATGGTTAGAACCTACTAAGCTGGTTGGGTTTCAATAAGTAGAGTATGACTCGTAGTTCTACGACTTCCATGGTTCTTTGTTTTGAGAGCATGTTTTTGGCTCATTGGATTCTTGCCCACCTGTTGGTTTGTTTCTGGTTTGTTTGTTGATTTTGCTGTTCGCCATATCTAGGAGACCTGGGCATCGACCGCAAGCTTCTGAGTTGATGTTGCGGTTTACTGTTTCTTTTGGCTTGACAAGCGCCCTCATCATGTCAACCCCCCACCAAGGGCCCCCTTCTTGAATGTAATGCAACAGGGCTTCCGTTGCCCCCCTTTTTGCCACAAGCTGAGCAAGTTCCCCCGAAAAAGCTTTCGGGAGTGCCAATGGATCGCATGGTTTCTTCTTTGAGGGGATTGATTCCCCCGTTCTCTCAAACCAGTCACATGGCGCGACTCAATCGTGCTTGAGCGCATTTGGTCGCATGGTGGAAACAATGCTTTGGGAAAGAATAAGTTGCTGGCTTCCAGGCATGAGCAGATAAGCAAGGGATGGCTATTTTGGCAGAACTAGCCGATGTGCGCGGTTCGAGCCCCCGCCAGTTACCAACCATTTGTTCGTTTGGGCCCACAAAACCCTCCGGAAACCTTGTTGCTGGCTGAGGCGTGAGCGGCACTTTGGCAGCAAGCGCAGAGGGCCAGATCAAAAGAGTCAGTGGCAGTAGTCACAGCAACAAGCAGGTAATTTTACAGGAACCCCCCCCAACCCAAAACAAGCTAAGTGGTGGCTTGGTTTGGGATTTGAACCCCTCGTTGAAAAAGAGGGCAAAGGGGGGAACCATCCCCGGAACACCCTAACCACCAATCCAAAGAGGAAAGCTAATGATTTGGTGGTCGGAAGGCAAACAAGTGTTGCCTTTTGCTCATGGCGACTGGACGGGAATGAGCTGTGGATTTTACATACCTAAACAAGGGTGAGCCGATGGGGTGGGGGGGGGGGGGAAGCGAGCTCACCCATGAAGGGTCCTTTCACGGAAACAAACATGTATGATTCAAAACAGGTGCCAGCACCAAACATGGGGTTAAGATTTGGGTTCAGGGTTTAATACATGCATGTATGTGCGTTTACAATGGTTGATGTGGTCATTGCCCAAGCTCACATCGCCGAGTCACGAAAAAGCTGCCCCGTGCATGGCTCTTGACGGGCCTTTTGGGCTGTAGATGGGTAGCTGAGCGACCAACCGCACGCAGATCCGCAATTCTCCGTTCCTCAGCTTCCTGGCCCCAGTTTGCATAAGATTCGGACGCAATTGCCCGGGTGTTCCCAGTTCTTGAGTAACACCCAGGGTCTGCGTTTTGTTTTGAAAAGGTTCCTCACTAATGGTTAATCCAAAGGCTTCCCCTTTTCCAGGGCTGATGGCACCGTATTTGCCAGGCAAACTGATCCTGCCATAGACCAACGTTCCTGCACCGATGATGTGCCGCCTTCGGGGCCGTAAGTTTCAAAAAAGGCCCCCGCTCCGAGCCAAGGAGCCATGTTCACTTGTTGACTGTGGCTTTGCGAATTGGTTGGGTGTTGTTTTGGGCCTTCCAGATCCGTGAATCCGGGATTGCGCACTCAGGCTTGGAAAGGCGGGTGTGGATGAGGAGGATAAAATGCGAAGCTCGGCGTGACCGGTTTCGTCGCGTGTCCTTCTCCAGGTATGGCTGTCTCCAACTAGTAGTTGAAACCCCGGCGAGTTGTGGAATGGGCAGGCCTGTGGTCGAAGGCTAAGGGGTATGCTAGGATCCTCACTCATTTATCCCCTAACCTTCACTCTCCATTCAAGTGTCCAAAGATTTATCAAACCCGCTGAGAAAAAAGGGGAAAGGGGATGGACCCTGCGACCTGTTCAACACCATTCTCAGGTCTGAGCTTTAATGGAGGCTTGTATCAGTTTGAAAGGCATCATGTGATCATGCACCTTTCAAGGTGGGGAGCATTATTTCCATGCCTCCAATGTGCCTGGTAAATTTGTTTGTGGTCTTGTTAGGTCGGGCACTGCTGCGGGAGATTCAGAACTTGCGCCGGGCCTTGTCCACCTCGCACATAGGCGGGAACGAATCTGCAAATGTCAAGCGCTTGGCACATGGGAAGCCTCGTGTTCTCTGGTTGTTTTGTTGGCTCGGTGCTGTATGTTTTCGCTCTTGTTGAGGGCACCTCCAAAACGGGCTGGGTCCGCTTTGGTTCCCCACAAAGGCACACGCAACTTTTGGGGCCCCAAAGAAAACTATCAGGGGTCGTTGATTTGTCGCTAGCTGCCCTTCAACATAAACATGCCACCATTTAAGAGAGAAGAGCAGCCTTCGCAAAGGGCGCTCTTGTCCGCTGAGTTGCCACGTCTGTAGCTTCACAGGTGCCTTTCAAAATGGCGGTTTAGCCGGCCCCAAAATGGGCAATGACATTTGCAGGTATGGATCAACCAGTGCGTGGGCTCTCACAATCGCCGGGCCTTTCTCTGCTTCCTGCTTGGCCTCACCCAGGGGGGCGGTTTCCTGGATGTTCCACCAGGTTCAATGTACCGAGAAAGCAACTTATAATTTACAGGCATTTTTGCAGAACTGGGATCACTGGGGGTAATTAGTCCCCTTGCCATTGTGAGATCCTACGTGGATTGATTGAATGTCCAAAAGAAACACTAGTGGTTGGCCAACTTGGGGCTTCAGACCTTGTTGCTTCTACCAGATTTGGTTTGCACCGAGTCATGCCTTAAGCCTCAGCCACATCGTTAACCCAGCGGAAGCTGGTGAAATGAGGGTTGTTCCAAAGAGGGGATGCTTTTGAAGGGAGCCTTTCTTCTGAACTCGAGCGCTCCTGAAATGACTGCCTTTCTTCAGATTGTGCTGGGTGTCTTTTCGGGAAGCATTCATGGCCATTGCCCATTGCAACCATTACATGGCCAGGGTGTCTTTTTTGGTTCTCGCCTTGCAGATTTTTTTGCGACCCCCATGGCATTCTGGGCGCGGAACGGCCCATGGCACTGACCCTCTTGTGATTCACTGTCCTTCTGTTGATGAATGACTGGTTTCCCACAAGGCTCCTGCAAGCGGGATGCCATGTGACCTTATGGGGATGCGCCAGGTGATCAGGTCACCGGGGTGGAGGCCTCTTTGACCAACCTGCGGCAGTTGCTGGACTCCTTCGAGTTCTCAGACGAGGCCGAGCGCCCCCAAAGCGTTGGCGGAGCGCCCAGATTTCGTGCGGGTGGAGCTGGGAGACGACGTTCCCCGAGGGCTCGGGACGACTTGTCTGTGTTTTGCTCAAGTGGCTCAAGTGTGACTCGCAAGAATCAGCGTGCGGTGTGTGGGAGTCTTGGCTGAGAGACGCGGACTTCAGGGAAAATGGGCGCAACTCCGCGATCCCGCCGGTGTTTAGCTGTGATGGGTCTCTTGAAAACCGAAAACTCGACCAACAGGTGCAGAAGTATGCCGCAAAGGCCGCAGTGGCCGTGGCAGACATCAAGGCGTGGCCCATGCCCGGGGTTTGAAGGGAGCGGGTTGGGCTTTCTTAAGCAGCTGAACCCAACTCGTCAAAAGGCGCACCCCCCCCCCTCCAACACATTCTCACGTTTGGTCGGCTGTTTCATGCACAGCGCGCAATTTTCTGTTCTCAGCTCTTATCGTCTTTGCAACCAAACTGACTTCCTGAGTTCCTCGACTTCAAGCTTTGTTGCAAGAAATTTGTGAAGTAGATAAACAGGTTGCACTTTGTTTGGCCAATCCACTCAGGAACTGAGCAAAGCAATCGCGTGCTTCGGCCATGCCAGCGTGCGACCCATGCCCAGCCTTACCGCTTATGTGGGTCATGGGTGCCCGAAAAAGCCAGAAAAGGTCTGTGGGCACCGATGTTGCCCTTCGACGCCCATCTTGGTGGAATGAGGTGACGAGCCCTGGAAGTCCATTTCTTCCTCCTTCTTTCCTCTTTTGTGAAGGCCCCCCCACGACACCAACCGTTTTTTTGTTTTGTTTTTTTCTCCCCCCCTTGTAAAGGCGAAGGCCAGAACTTGACTTGGGGGACCCTCAACTCCCCCCCCCCGCCGCCAACTTCGCTCGACACCTCGGGCCGCAGGGCATCAACATCTCGCATCCCTTGATGAAAGCCCTGGCCTCCAAGCGACGCGGCATGCGCTGGCAAAATGTGTTTGGTTCGTCAGTTTTTTTGTTTTTTTTTTTGGGGGGGGGTCCGGTCACCCAAAACCTAGGCCATGATTTTGCCTAAAACCACCCACCTTCCCATGTGTTTTTTTCTCCTTAAACAAAATATAATTTCTCCAAACCCACCAGCACCTTCACAAAGTGTCCCTAAACCAACCCTTAACCCATTTGAAGCCCACCCTTTCCCCAGCTCAAGCCTACCCTGCGCCTGACCTTTCTTGCTCCAGCCTAAACCTAGGGTAACTGTTTACATGGCTTTGGGTTCACCATCTTGGTACCATGTTTTTATTATGACTTATCACTCACCTGTGCAAGTTAGTTAAACCATGCTGTTTCCCTTTGAGGCTATGTCCCATGAGCAGTGCAGAGACGCCTTTGAGCATTTGTTGATGTATTTTGAGCCCCCGCGAGTTCCCAATAATCTCATCTTTAGACTCATTAGGAGGATCTCATCACATTGATCAGCAAAATCAGCCAGCTAAGATAAAGCAACCGACCCTGACTAGTAGCAGTATGGTCATGAACTCGGGTGAACAAGCCGATCAGCCCTTTCAGGGGGTCTCCTGTTCCGGAGGGGAAACCGCGCAAACGCGCCATGAGACCCCGAGCAGGCAAACAAAAAGCAAGCACGGTGGTCACTTTTCATTGGCTGACTGCCACCCACATGTGCCCAAAGCCCTTTGTGGTTCATACCACGGGAATTTGTATGTGAGTGTGTACATAATCGCCTATCGCCGAGGGCATGGGCTTTCCATGTTCAAATGTTGGCATTTCTTTTGGGCATTGCAACTTAATATTTGTTTTTGACCAAATTCTGGTCACGACAATGTCCATCATGTTGAATCCCTCCCCTCCCAGCACAGTTTGTTCGTTGAGGTTTGGGTAGCCCATGCTGCAACCCTAGCAACCAGTCCCAACCCATGACTGTTTATACATGTCTTGGCTGACCAGCTTGGCATGGTTATAGCCGGCTCACCTTGAGAGGTGCTTTACGCGGAGATTCACGTCCAATTCGTGAGCTATTGTAATTTGCAGATATAGGCTTTTTGATTTGCCTTCAAAACCAAGGGACGACCGGAAGGTTTGCTTTCCAGTTGCCGCCGAGTCCTCTCCAGGGAGAGATATGGTAGCCCAAGGTGTTGCTGGATGTTTACTAAGCTTAGGTACGGGAATCGCCATGGCTCCATGGAGGCAAGGCCCGCGAATCCAAAAACAAAAGGGGGCTCCGCCCAAAAGCAAGCCACAATGTCACTTGTCACCCAAAAAGGCCGTCACCAAAAAGGAATTCCTTCGAACAGGTCGATTTTGGGTTCTCTTCTAATCTGCTGTGAGGTCTTTGAAGGTGACTTCGGAGCAATGCCGCAGAGCCCAGGATTTTACCAGATTCAGAAGTTTCACCGCACGGCCAAAACTCACACCTCTAAGGGTGGATTGTTTTCGGTTTCCTCGGGGTCCTCGAGTTTGTGGCGCAACTCTGCACCGTAAGGCCCTTCAAAGAGAAGGCCAACCTTAACGAGTGCTTCTATCTGGTTCTTGAAACCTGTGCATTGTTAAACCCTGTGCCCGCCTTCCACGATTGGATCTTGTCTAACGGGCCTAGGCCTTTGCACCATCCCTTGGTCCGGTCGGGTATCTTCCATGGGGTGCAACAGGCCTCGTGTACCGGTTTGGAAACATGGCTGGTTGCTACAGAGTTCAACACGGCTTGTAGCTGTGTTGTCAGCCCTCTCAGCTGATAGCTAATAGGCTTTGCTCGAACATGTATGCAGCCTATGCATGTCACCCGGTTGGAGGGGTTGCACAAGGCTTGGAACCGACTGGCAAGAACGCGCCTTCTCTGGCTGCAGAGATAGTGGGGCTTACATAAAGTTCTTGTACATGAGCTTTTTGTTGCTTGTTCTTGGACTGGCATTTGCGTTTTCAGAGGAGTGCCCCAGCCCTCGGAATGCAGCCACATTTTGGTTTGTCAAAGGCGTGTCTTCATCCAGTTACGAAAGGATGTTGCCTCCGTTGTCGCGGCTTCCAAAGTGGAATTACGGAAAAATCATTTTGGCCCAACCTTTCAAACTGCCATAGGGCCGAGGTAAATTTGGGCTTATAAAACTACCAAAAATGGATCTGTGTTGTGTGTTTGTGTGTTTGTGTGTGTGTGTGTTTTGGGAACTCTCTTCTGGTTGATTTTAACGGGGAAAGGAACCTGCCTGTGTTGCCAGTTGCCCTATCTTGCCCCACTTGGTTCAACCCCCCGTAAAAAGTCCGCTTGGAGTTGGCCTTGAGTTTAGAAGTTTAGACCATGCGCCCTCGGAATTGAGATGGCAGATAGATCTCAACCCCCTTTGCCTGGTTTCCTGGCTCTGCTAGAGGGTAATTGCAGACATTCCCGGCGACCACCAAACCACCGATTGGTAAGCTGCGAAAAAGGCGTTGTCGGGTTTCCAACTTGAAGATCTTCCATCAAGTCTGCGTATTTTACAGCGAGCTCACCGATTCGGGGGGTACAACGAGCTCACCGGCTTTCTGTGCATCCGAATCAGATTTTGGAGATAGTGATCGAGTCTTTGCAGATCACTTAAATCTACTTGAAATTTGCAGATCTCCGGGTGAGCCTTTGACTTGACTTCAGGAGGCCACTGCCGGGTGGGGGCCTCGAAGCGGGACAAAAAGTGGGGCGAAGGGGTAAGAGGATGCGGCCCATGGGGCCCAGAACGAAGCCATTGCCATAAGTTGATTGAGGCAAGGATTTTGTTTTTTGATTTGAACTTGAACGATTGCTTCATTGATTTGGTTGATAGGTTCATTGACTGATTGCCTTGACTGGCTGGTTGGCTGGCTCACTCACACATCACTCAGCTCACCTAAACTCACTTCGTTCACCTCACTCACCTCGCCCAACTCACCCACCTCACTCATATCGCCTCACCTCACCTCACCTCAACTCACCTCACCTGACTGACTGACTGACTCACTGACTGACTGAATGACTGTTTCGATTTGACTTTAATGATTGGTTGAGTGATTGATTTTCTTGATTGATTGATTGATTGATTGGTTGATTGGTTGGTTGGTTGGTCGGTCGGTCGGTCGGTCGGTTGGTTGGTTGGTTCGTTGATTGCAGTAATTGATGGATTCAATGATTTATTGACTCATTGATTCATGCATTAATTGATTCATTCATTCATTCATTAATTTATTCATTCATTTATTCATTAATTCATTCATTTATTCATTCATTCATTCATTCACTCATTCATTCATTCATTCATTCATTCATTCATTCATTCATTCATTCATTCATTCATTCATTCATTCATTCATTCATTCAT